GTGTTTAGTTAATATTTTATAGAAACTCGATTTTGGTAATGAAGCAAAACAAGGCCGTTTAAACCTCGAAAAAAAGCAAAAAAACTTTATTTACGCTAGTTTATTACAAATGATATGCACATGGGGAAATAGAGCGAGTATATGAGTATTACAATGAGATGTTCTTGGAAGGAGCACTTAAGTATGAAAAGAATTGCGGGAACAAACTTCATACCGTAGTTTGCAATAAAATGATCAGTTCTCCGTTTTGCTGGGTGCTTTCGGTGTCTGGGTGCTGTGGTTTTGACAAGCTAGGGGACGAGGGTGGGGCCGGTGGATTTGAAGGGGCACTGATAACCCAAAGGTCTTATCTGTTGTTGTTGTCTCAAACGATGCAAATCGTAGTCGTAGACACGCAAAAAAAATACCACAGCGCGAAAAATATTTAATGCGCCTTTTTATTCTTGCCGTTTTTCTCCTGCTTTTCACCTCCTCACTTCTTTTGATGTATGATGTAATTGATTATGAAATTTAGAAGCTTTGTAAGCGACATTTTTATAATATTTAATAACGACATTCGTAAAACATGTTTTTTTTTAACGCACTTGTGAATGCACTTGCGAACACAATCTTTTGAAATATGAAAATCAGAGGTTGGAAATTATGTCTCCTTGCTTTTTGTCCTTCCTCGGAAGACATGGTGAAGCTCGGCACACTTTGCACTAAGGGTGATCAGGGAGTCGAGGAATTGGACTAAGTTCCCTTTCCGGTACCTGACGACCTCTCAGACTTCGAAAAGGAAATAGTCAAACAGTCAAAACAACTGGGTTTGGTGCCTGTGCATCATAGTTTTGCTTGTGACTATGCCGGGGCGGCCTTTCATGCAGCACCGGCACGGCATGGACCCTCACGTTGCTTACAAAAGTTCACTGCGCGTCCTCTTTGGCCTTTGACCGTTTCAAAGAATTCGAGATCACTGAGAGGGCCCTAAAAAAACTTCGAACTCGAAAGTGAAGCGTCATCTGCTCACAGCGATAGGCAGCGTGCACGGAGAAGCGCAGTTGATCGCGGGACGCGGAAGAACACGGCATTTTCGGTCGAGACGGCTCAGAGGCGGCAGAGAAACTCTAGTAACGAGACGACTCAATCTTCGACGTCACTGCACTGGTGCGGATCACGTGGGAACTTTGAATTCAGCTTTTGGAAATTGTTTTTTCATTTCACATGTACTGATTTCCCAAACTTTGAATTTTGATGGTAATGTCCAGGCGTCGTTTTTAAAGGTTTCGTTCGGGGTGGCGTGACATGACAAGGACATCTGGGACTCGGATCATCCGAAGGTCAGGCCAGGGAGAAGTCCGGAGAGCTCGAGTCTTTTGCTCGATGACTTCCAGTTTTGCTCCCCGCTGCCTCCAGCTTAATCGCGCGTTTCGATTGATTCGAATGCCTTCTCTTCTGCGTCGCCGTTGTCGCTCCCGCACGCGCTCTGCTCCTGAAACGCACAAGGCATGCACATGGCACATGCACATTCAGACCCCCATGAAGCTGCGTGCAGTGCAGACAAGTTTCAGAAAAGTATCCTCGAAAATGCCATCTGCACAGATTGAATGTTATCTCTGTCCAATAGGTTGTTGGGCTCCTCCTTCTGTCTATCTCATTGATTGGCCATCTGCATGCCGTGTGGGAACGTGGCCACACAGGCTTTGTTCACCGAGCAGTGTGTCTATTAGTACTCCAGTAAATAGGATAGATTCAGAGCAACAGGTCTTAGCTATTGCCTTGTACATGGCAAATATCATCATGGATCAGGCACATATTGGAGGCAGAAAAGATTTTCTTTGGTTACATAGCCAGACGTGCACCTTGGAGATAAACCTCAGATGCATGTGTAGCCGCCTCGGTGGCTTTGAGGCGAGAGCGCCGGCCTACGGATCCCCATGTGGCGGGTTCGAATCTTGGTCGAGGTGTGCGCAATCTGACGGAGGCTGCGCCGTGTAACGGAGCTTTTGGTTGCACGTCAAAGGATCCCCAGGTGGTCGAAATTAATCCTCAGTTCTCTGCTGGGGTGTGCCAGATGCCCGTTGTCGGTTTGGCACATAAAACTCCCAAATTTTCAGATGCACGCCTGCTTATTGCAAAGAAGCCCCTCGTAACCGAGGTTTCAGTCGTACGTGAAAAGATCACCGGGTGGTCGAAATAAATCCACCGAGGCATGCCAAAGGCCCTTCGTTGTTTTGGCCGGTTTGGCCTTTATCACACAGGAGAACAGTCCTTGACTTGGTATTCCTGCATAAGATCATTAATGGTGCCATTGATTCTTCATGGCTTATTAGTAAAATCAATTTCCATGTTCCTTTCCGCGCGACGAGACAGCTCACCTGTTTTGATATTTGCTCACCGTGCCGTGTTTCACCTCCTTCTCGTTTACAGACATTATATAACAGCATTGTGCCACCTCAAGTTGACATCACCACACCCCTGCCTACATTTCGCTGTCAGTTGGATGAACTTTTGGTCACTTCGTAGTGCGTCAGTGTATATGCATATCTATTTCTTTTTTAATGAGTAGGATTTTTGTTTAAGAGTTTCTATTGTACGAGTTGGTGTACCTAAGAGAAGGCCGCTCGGCCGTTTTAGGGCACCTGAAAAATAAAGATTAATATTATTATTATTATTATAAAACCTCCAACTGGGAAGTCTTGGATGTGCGCCTCTGCAGAGCCAATGTGAAGACACTGCGCATTGGTCATCTCTCCTCACGACGTGCAGTAGCCACTCTTTAATATTGCGGCTGTAAACTCAAAGAAGTACTAGAGTGTGTAGACATCCCGAAACCACGACCCGGATCGTGAGAAACACGCAACCAACGGTACAGTGAGGGTAACAGCTGAAAAGGACACTGACAGGGCATTTATGCTCGCCGAGGTTTTTAGTTCTATGTGACATATGGGAGCCCAACTACCCAGAGCAAAATTTGCGGCTTGAAATTCGGTTTCTTTCGGCCCAAAAACCGCCGATCAAGAACTGGCCGGTTTTGAGTCGCGCTCACTGTCTTTTTTGTGGTCACAGGCCATTTTTTAAGCTTTAGCCACAACCACCAGGTTTAATCGAAGTGGTGGGTCATTCAAGGCACACACTCAATATTAAAAATAGAAAAAATTATGAAACCCATTTTTTGCGGCTTCTAAATAGCTGCAAATAGGTTGATCGAAAAAAAGTTGCACAGAGAACCGGAAGGATTCTGGCGTTCACTGCGTAATTCTCAACATGGCGTCGTTTCGCGTATCGTGGGACTCGCGGGGACGGCAATGGCAGCGGACGACGGGCGTGGGACCTCACTTCAGAACTGTCGTTCACGGTACCAGAAAATTCTGTCTGCCCTTGAAAGAGAAATTCGGGACCGATCAAAAGAATTGGCATTCATCCCAAACGACATGCCCGACCACCAAGCTGATTTACACAAAGACGTTGCCGAGCCGTCGCCCCCTTCTCGTGGCTGAGAACATCGCTCGCGCAAACGTCAAGCACGAAGTGCCTACTTTGAGCTGAATACGCACACATACCATTTCTTTACTGGGTGCGAATGGGGCCGATGCGTGGTGCTGCCCGACTTCGACCCGGGAGCCCCTTTGCTAGAAGAAAATCGGCAGCAAACTTTCCAACCCACAGTTGACCGGCTGCATTATTAACACAAAAGTTCCCCCAGTAGCTCAGTGGAAATATGTCCACTTCACACGCGGCGGAACCGGGTTCAAGCCCCAGTGTATGTGTACCGTCTTCTTCTTTTTTTTTTTTTTTTTCAAACACTTTGCAATACTTATATTTCTTTTTTTACAATTATCACTGAAAAGAAAAAAATGTTGTGGACAAAACTTTGCTGAACTAAATGGTATGGGATTTCCTTTTTGACACCTACAAACTCAATGTAATTACTTTTCACAAAATGCAAGAAGCACATAAATCGAGTAGCGTCCGCTTTCCAATGTGTCCGTAAATGTTCTACAGGAATTACAGCCAGCCATTGGTCCCTATCCTGTTGATCTTTCGGAAACTTGTGCAGACCTCTGCTGCACAAAGCCACTTATTTTGGACGCAAGACATGTGGAGGCAGCTCTTCACGCAACATCTTGGGTGTATTCTTTTCGGAGCCGATCGCGGAAATTCAGCACAGGCATTAACTACTCATCTCCAACTTCTCAATGTAAAAAAACAACTCATCTTGTAGTACAGAACAGCAAGTGGAACAAACATAACTGCAAAAGAATCGCGTAACAAACAGTCCTCGCAACGCGTGTCGTCTGCTGCGCACAAAAAAAAAAAAAAAATGGGAGGGGAAAAAAAAGCGATGAGTCGGGTGTAGCCACATGACTTCCGCCACTCAATTTCTGCTCTCCACTTTTCCAACCTCCGTGCGCTGGTTTCGGTTTCGAGCAGTTGCATTTTTTGGCTTTAATAAAAATATACATGACTGTGTTACAAAATATTAATGGGGTAGTCTTCTGACACCATAATGAATCGCCTGGCAAAAAATTAAAAAAGTTTTTTGGGGGTATTAGTGTCCCTTTAACAGCTCGGCGCAGTTACCCTCGCTGCGCTGTCAACCTAAAGGCAATGGTAACGGGACGTATTGCACATTGCCTCGCAGCAATGCTGCACAAACGAACCGAGGACGTGTTTCGTGCCTCGAGCATTTCTGAAATTAAGCTCCGCCAAAGCTAGTCCTTTAGCGGGAGCCGAGCGCGAAGTTTGCGTCCCTTGCGGTCGCACACCATCACCCTGCCATCTTGCGTCTCCCCGTTTTCTCCGAAGCATGCGCTTCTTCTCTTCCCCCCAGCCTCCCGCCCACCCTCTTACCACTTGTCGCCTGGCGGTGACAATTTAGATTTACTTTTTTCCGCCCGTACCGTCGGTACAGTTGGTCTGGCGTTGGATTCGCAACCAGAACGACTTCGGTTCAAAACCTTTTCTTGTGTACCGGCGAGTTTTCGCGTGACACTGTTACGCCTCCCACGTGCACCCAGCTGGAGGAGCGTGTGCGTGCCTGGAGCCACTCCCCGGGGGCCCAGCTGGCGGAATGGTGCTCGCCCCGCAAGGACAGCTGGGCTGACATGGTCTCCTCCGCCCTGCGCTTCCTGGCAGGAGACTACATCGGTGAGTCCCCCCTCTCGGTTTTTGGGGACGCAGGGTCCTGGTGAGTCCCCCAGGCCCGTCTGCCGACCGACGCGGGCGTCTCTCTTCATGGTTTTAACTCGCCCGTGAGAGTGGCCTCAAGGTCGCACAACCGGCTCTGTGGGAAGAGGTTAGTCAGCGTTTTGGTCGATTTCGCTCTCCAGGCGTAAGGCTTGCCCGTTGTTTTCTTCAATTCTCGATCAACGCAGCTTTCCCCAGGAATAACTTTGCATGCCGCCCCTAAAGTACACGAATGCGGTTCATTTGACTTACATTTCAAGCACCTTCACCCTTTTTCTGCGCTCTAAATCAAACTTTAATATTCGAGGGGAGGACGGACCTACGGCAGTCATTTGGCGAGAGCAATAGGTGCCTTTAGTTCCTTGTCTCCACGGAGCCGGTCACGCGATTTCAAAATGCTTCTCGCGGGTGAGTTAGCCGCCTGAAGAGATGGCTGCATAGATTGGCGAATGGGCCCCTTGGGGGTCTCTGGGGCATCCCTTCCGAGACGAACGCCCACCGTGCTGCAACGGTGACCTTCGCTAGTGCTACCGAATAAGCTACGTTTCAGAGTGCTTTAGCCATTTGGTTGCCTGAAATCATTGTTGTCAGTTACTTCGAGCTTTTCCCAAAACCGCAGGAAATGCTTTTTCATCGCCCAGAAATGTTAAAGCTGTCCACGACGAAGCGAAACAATATCACTTGTATATTCTATTTTGTATTCTAAACACAGCTTGTCTAGTAGCCTCTGCGACGCACGAATAACGCGATGCTGCAGTAATGTTGGAACGGTTATGTCGCAATGGCACCCTTGCCCCGGAAATTATGGTGTTAGGCTGACTGTGCCATTTCCACCCTTCTCACACTTTTGTGGGCGAATTGATGCATGACGGGCTATTCTCGTGTGCCTGTTGCCAATTAGGTTACGCGAGTTCGTCGGCCATCCATTCGGGTATAAGTAGGGCTCCGTGTTTTCGGATAAATCCGAAAAACTCCGAAAAACACCCGCCGGTAAAATTTTTGTCGATTCAGATTTATCCGATAAACTCCGAATTGTTATGTGCCCATGCCTCCCCCCCCCTCCTCCTCCCCAAACAACAACAAAAAAAAAAAAAGTTTTAGTTTTGCTTTTTTTTTTTTTTTTTTTTTTTTACATTTTTGGCAGCGCAGGCTCAATGGTCCTGGGAAAATGACACCATAATTATCTTTCGAGCCTCGGACCGTTGTCAAAAGGGGTCTTACGACTTGTCTCGTCAAGGTTGGTTCAGAGAAACGGGTCATCGTACCATTCGTGTCATGACAAAAGCCCCTCTTTTGGTTTCCAGTTTGGGCCATGGGATTTGGGATTCAGAGAAAGGAGAGGGTATGTTTCTGGGGGTAACAGTGAAAGCTATGGACCATAGAGATTGTATAAAATAGGGAAGAGGGGCAGTTGAAACTTCTCTATTACATCCACCTCGCGCGGCAGCGGGATAGGTTGATGGGATGACTACGAGCTTCCTTGCGGCTATCTCCGGCAGTTTATTGATATTAAGGTATCGACGTTTATCGAAGCCACACTTGTGTGCGAGTTGTGTCGTGGGACAAATTAGTATTGCCAGTGACACCAACGCCAAATTAAACTGAAGAAATTATCTCCAAATTGAACTGAAGAAATCATAATAGATACAAGCGCGTTTTATTTTTATCTGGCATACGTTTGCATCCGGTTATTATTTATTATTCTTAATAAGAAACACTGCGAAATTAATCTCCGAATTTTGGAGAATTGGAGATTTATGAAAAATAAACTCCGATAAACACCGAATTTTTGCTAAAAAATGAACTCCGAAAAACACCCTCCGAATTTCACGAAAAATAAACTCCGAAAACACGGAGTCCTAGGTATAAGCAACTGACTTGTTCGAACCAAAATTTTCGGCCGTCGTCAAAGGATTAAACTACTCCCGAAATGCGTCTTTCAGTGAATGTTTGTGTGAATTCTTTTATTTGTTGCGCCATCCTTATAAGTTGATCTAATTTTAATCTAAAAATATTCAACAGAGATCTGTCTGGTTAGGAAATAAATAGGAAATAATCTACTGCTGGATATCCTTGATGGAGATGGAGTTGAAGATTATTAAGATGATATAGATGAAGATTACAAAGAAGATTCGCCCAACCTATAGTCACACGTGACCAAGGGACCGAGCTGGTCCCGAAACGTAGGGTATTTTGCTTTTATTCAAACTTGGTTAGAGTTTCAATTTTTTTCAGTCAGTCTGTTGATCTAATTTGTAAGAATATGATGCTGAAATACAAAATGGGCTTCTTCTGAACCATTGTTGGCAATGCCCGGAAACAGAATCTGGCTTTTTACGCAAGTTTGTAACTTGTGCCCTCACTGACAAAGGCGGTGGCTGCACCAGGGTGGAGAACAAAAATCAATTTAATTCATTATTTAAGTTGTGATTTAGATCGGACCAGTTTTACTATGATGATCTAAATCAAACTTTTTCCACAGAAATAATTCGGAAAAAAGTTTTTATTTACCGTTTGTCTATCATTTGAAGCTATCTATGTGCATTTGTTTTGTACCAAAATTCGAAAAGTCATCATCATCAAAAAGCATTGCTATTTTTGTTTTAAACAAATCGGATCATTGACCTTTTTCTATCTTGCACTTTGTCTGTCAATTACACAACGTCTTAATGCAAGCAAATCAGAATCTGGAAGAAAGGGACAAAAACTCGAAAATGTAATGTCTTATGCACACAAATCAGAATGGGGAAAAAATGTGAATTAAAATAATCAAGCTTTTTTTGTTCTAGTATGCCTGGTGTTACATCATTAAGAGGTAGTTCATTAAACAGTACCTTTAATTTACAATAATTCTTTCTTCTGATTAAATGGATTGCTCTTTTCTCCCTTCTTTTTTTTCTGTTAATTTTTTGTGCCGGACTTGCCTTATGTCAGCCGTAGTATCTCATCAGGTGGCTTGTTCGTCTTGTAAAAAAATTAAAGGATTTGATTTGATTTATCAATCAATCTTACCATATTTAAACATATGTGTAGTAATAAAGGGTCATTATTTTCTAGCTATACTGTACTCCATCTCGCCCCACGATGGATTGGGGCCCAAAGACTGGCGAGCGGAGCACTACTTCAAAAAGGGTTGCATTCGCATTGCAAAAGAGTGCTTAAGAGAAATTCGAATTCGCAGAGTACCAAGAGCACTAATCTTACCCTAATGGTTCTCTCTTGCGATAGCGCGCTATTTTATATCAGTGAAGTAAAGGTATGTGGCATTTAGTTCCATAGACATTCACGCTGTTTCATGAACATGTCAGTGTTTGGAGAAGTTGGAGGGCATGCAGGCAACACTCACATAAAGTGATTTTGCCCTAGCCATAACGATCCAATCCTGCCTTTGTGTATGTACCCGGACCCGTAGCTCCCTTCCAAACGTGGTCCATACATATGCTCCCGTGTCGAACACTCGATCTGACTAGTCTGCGTTTCTTGATGGCCACTTATTCCGATCCCAGGTTGTTATCGCCAAGTCGCTTCCAGACAATATTTAATCCCTTCACTAGTCTTCAGTAGTAGCAAGCAGATGGAGCCACTGCAAGGGCTCGATAAGCAGTCAAAAAGCTCGCCTCCGCATGACGCGTCTTTGCACACTGATACATACAACGGAGCAAATATACCATATTTACTCGCATAATAAGCGCAGCCCCCACAACGGGCATCAATATTTTTACTTTTTTTTTTTCCCTCCCGTAATTGACGCATCTCCAATTTTCGGATCTGCGAGTCTCGAATTGCGTCCAATTTAGCAAGCCACCAAGCCAGTTTTCTTTTGCCGCCAAGCGGTCAGGCCAAGTCAAGCCATGTCACGCCAAGCCAGCCTGCTCTCGAGATGGCAGCAAGTGTGTAGTTGCGGTAGTTATAAAAGTGATCAACTGTGAAACCGAGTGTCGCGCACACTTGGCGATGCTTGGGTTAAGGAATTACTGATCCCCAGACATTCTTCGCCTATCGGATGCATTGATGTCAACAAACTAATTGTCGTCTGTGGTCCGCTTTCGGACAGTGAAATTGTGAAAGTGGTTAAGCCTAATTTCACATACTCCGGGTAAATCCGTTTATTTAATCCGCAACAGAACGGCAGAGCAAGGTGCACGCTTCGCCGTAGGCTGAGAGTGTCTGGTAGCCTCTCCGTGAACGAAACTCCATCCGTGCGAGCGGGCTTCGACAGTCGGGGGTTGGACTTCGTGCGAGTTCTTATACGCGTAGTCACGGATTATACCTGAGCATGCCCGCCGGATACTAGCAATATATATCGCCTGAGAACGGTTGTGTTGCTTTTCATGCTGAGTGAGCTTCGTAGGGCGCTTTTCCTTCGGCAAAAGGCATCCCGAAAGTGCCCTAAAAAGGTTTGCAATTTGTAAAGCATGGTTATTGTGGCGCGTCCCCGACCAGGCATTGGGGCGCCTTTGTCACTGGAGACGTGTCACAGTACCTTGCCGCGCTATATTGGCACCTAATATGACATTTGCACGAAGTGTGTAAATGCAAAAATTTTACTTCGTGTAATGAACACCCCCCTCCCCCTCTATTATGTGTCAATTTTTGAGAAAAAAAGCGTGTTCATTATGCGGGTAAATACGGTACCACGTGGTTCTAACAGGCTCGTAATTAAATCCGGCAGTCTCTAGCATTAAGCTTTCGTTACATCGTAGGATGAGGTGAAGTTTAGTGATTTAAATCAAATTAATCTGATATAAATAAAATAAATCTGATCTAGATTAAATTAACCTGATTTATTTAATTTTTTTTACTTTATTTTTTACCCTGATTGGAGCCACTGAACATTGCCAAAGTATCGCATTCCATAACGTCTGTTTGGTCTTAAAAGTAGGTAAAATGCACATGCACAAGAGCCCCAAACAGCCAATGAATTATGACTGACCGTCAGGTAATAGGCATGTTGATGTTAGCTACGACTTTCTGTATCAAGTAGTCCATGATCTAGTCTGTGAAAGGAGAATTTTGGCACGTTTGTTCCCTGGTTGTGCCGGGTTTTATCTTCAAGTTAGGCCTAAAACCTTATTTTTTGGTGCCTCCCGAGCCTTGAAGAAGGAAAGAGAGATGCAGGACGCAACAGCTTATAGCAAAGGAAAAAGCTTTAATAGAGCCACACCCACCTGTACCACCAAAGAGGCTGCAGGCAAGGAGCATGCACTAGCACAGACGCAACATGGTTCAATTCGATTATACGAAGCCGTCAGTCTCAGCACCGCGGCGCGACCTTCAAACAAGGCTTCGTAGTTGGTGCTCAGAGAACCTCGGGTGGCTCCGGGGTATGTGCAGGCGTGCTGCCAGAAAACTTTGTGCCCTACTTGGACTACAAGGAGAAGCAGCAGCAGTGGCAGTGGATCGGGGCGGGGCGTGACTCGGACTTACAGAGCCTGGCCCTGTGTCAGCACTGGCTGCAGGGCCGGGAGCAGGTGGCCCCAGATGCTCTGGACGCCTCCCAGGGCTCGCCGCCGCCCCCCAAGTGGTGAGTGATCGCTCCCCGATGGAGCGAACTCCACTCATCCTTTCCATCCCTGCAGTACCACCGACTGGACGGTGCGGCCCACCACAGACGAGGAACGAGGTGACTACCGCAGCCAGGTGAGCCGGCAGCCCTAGAGCTACCAAATAAGATAAGCTTTAGAGTAGCTACACTTCAGCAATATTGGTGTCAAAAACCAATGCTGCCAGGTGCTGCAAACTTATACCGATGTACCTCACGGTGAAGGAAAAAATGAAAGACGTTTACAATTCCCTGTCATGCCGAATTAAAGTGCAGCTCTTGAGAGGAGGAGAAAAGGGTACAGAGAGGAGGGTATGCCCCTCCCACCGTACCCTCTCCTCCCTCCCCCTCCCCTCCCCCTTCCTCTCCTCCATCCTCCTCTCATTCTCCTTCCCTCTTCCTCCCCCCCCTCCTTCCTCGTAACATCACTCTTGACCCTCACAACCCTAGTGACCTTCACTGTGAAGGTCGGGACCTTCATCGGGACCTTCACGAGGGACCTTTGGGACATCACTAACGACCCTAGTGACGTCACTCGTGCCGTCACATGTGACATCACTTCTGATGTCATTATGGGAAACGTCCCATAATGCAGCGTACAATTACGCCGACGGCAACGCTGCTCAAGCCGGAAACGGGCGCCTAAGAGCTGCACTCTAAAAATGCTTTCTGTTGTCCCGCTTGCTGCAGCAGTTCAAAACAATGCAAAGTCCATCTTCGCAGAAGTTGCATCTCAGAACCGTAACTGTCATAGATGGTGCCAGTGTGGCTTTAGGCACCGAAACGGCGGAACCCATGAGCCATTTTTACATAAACAAATATCACGTGAGATGAACAAACAAATTACTGTCCAGGAGGAAAGAGTGCTGACACTCTGAGTTTAGCTTCCCAGTGACTCTTGGTGGGCGACCTCCAGGGCAGATGGGTGTGAAAGCGTGGGCTGTTCTACTTTGCCCCCCGCTGTGGCGCAGGAGTGCATACGATACCAGAACCCTCACCGGGCCTTCACCTTCCGGGTTCACGGCTACGAGGCGGTGGTGGGGCCCGTGAAAGGGGTGTATGGCAAGGAGAGCGGGGTGAACAAGGCCCGGGAGCACTCACTCCTGGTCTCGGACCGGCCTCCGTTCGTGACGATCCTGTCGCTGGTGCGGGACGCGGCGGCGCGGCTGCCCAATGGGGAGGGCACGCGGGCGGACATCTGCGAGCTGCTCAAGGACTCGCAGTACCTGGCCCCTGCCAGCGACCAGCAGATCCACACGGTGGTGAGCGGGGCCCTGGACCGGCTGCACTACGAGAAGGACCCCTGCGTCAAGTACGACGTCAACCGCAAGCTCTGGATCTACCTGCACCGCAGCCGCACCGAGGAGGAGTTTGAGAAGATCCACCAGGCACAGGCGGCCGCCGCGCGGGCCAAGAAGGCCATTCAGAAGAGCAAGGCCCCGCGCCTGGCGGCAGCCTCGGGGGCGCACGAGCCCCGGCCGCAGAGGCCCCGGCCCGAGGAGGGGGGGCCCCGCAGCCCGGCCAAGCGTGCCAGCCGGGATGAGCCGGAGCCCGAACCTCCAGCCAGGGCCAAGGGTTTCCAGACCATTGTCATCAAGCAGGAACCCAAGTCCAAGCCCCTGGTAGCACGGCTTGTCCCAGGCTCACAGGTGAGTCTGAGCACAGAGTTCTCTCGAGCCAAGTTGGGCCTTGGGCTGTGTCAAACTAAGGTTTGGTTGTGCCTGTTTGGGCTCTGATACAGTCGAACCTCGTTATATCAAACAGTGCGAGGACCGCGAAATAGTTCGATATAATCAAAATTCGATATGCAATGTCACACACAAAAAAAGCGTCTAAGTACAGCGCGATTTAATCAGTAAAAAGCTAACGGCAAAAAATGACTAGTACTCACATGAAGCGTTAAGGTGAACTATTTATTCCGGCGAAAAAAACTGCCGCAGCGTAGATTGCTGCATGGAGCTGACCGCATGCCTTATTACGGCCGGCTTCACTGTCTCCAAGCAGTCCACCAGCGCCAGACCACTGCCGTCGATTGCACTGCAGTAGCGGCGTAAAAGCGAGACCATCTTCCCGACAATGTTGTAACAGGCTTTGAAGCGTTGCAGCCACCTGCTACTTGCGGCAACGTTTTGTGCTTGGTGGATGAACGCAAAGTCCTTTGCTTTCTGTTGAAGCATTGGCCTGACGCCGGAATGTTCCGAGCCCTTGCGTCCATGAATCACTTGTGAAGTGATCTTTCCACCTTTTCGAAGGCCGGTGTCTGAACGTGGCGTGTGCCAGAGTGCTTGCTTCGCTCAGCCTTCGATTTGATGTCACTTTTTGTCTTCAGCAGCGTGCTCAAAGTGCTTCGCGGTATGTTGTATGCTTCGGCAACACTGGACTTCTTTTCTCCTTTTTCAACGCGGCGCATGATTTCAAGCTTCATCGCGAACATCAGCGACATATGTTTCTTTACGTTTGTTGCCATCGCCACATCCGGTTGACGCAACGTCGGAGGAACGAACCCGGAGCTGCCCGGAGCCACGAAACTGCACAGGGCGATAGGATTGAGCTGACTGGACTGAGCCCGTATGCCGCCGAATCTGGATGGCGTTCCCGGCACCACAGGCATAAAACCTTATGCAGGCATGCGCTTGAATAAAAGTCGCAAACGCCTGCTGCGCCACCGCTATCCTGTGATATGTTGCGGGAAAGTCCGCGTATCCTCCGATGTGCTGCGGGAAAGCCTGCCACCTGTCTCCGGAGCACAGCTTTCCGGTGCTGCGGAGTTCGATATATTCATTTTTTAACCGATTGAGTTTGCTATAAAAAATTTAAAATGCATGTAATTCTTATGATAGTTCGACAATGATTCGATATAAGCAATAATTCTATATATCCGTGTTCGATATAATGAGGTCTGTTGGGTTTTAGAGTGGGGTTCTAGTTGGGTTCTAGAGCCTGGTTGGGATCTGGTCGGTTGTGTAATCTGATTGAGTTCTGAGTTGTTTGCGGTCCAGTTTGGCTCTAAATTTCTACGGGTACAGTTGGGCTGTGGTTTCCGGTTGGGCTAAAGTGTTGTAGCGCTGGGGAGTTTAATTGCACTCTGAGGTCCAGTTGAGCTCTGGGGTTCAGTTGGGCTCTGGGTTCCGGTTGGGTTGTGGGGTTTGGTTTGGGTCTAGTTGAGCTGTAGGATCTGGGGTCAGGTTGGACTACAGGTTCTTGTTGGGCTGTTGCGTCTGATTTAGCTGTAGGATATGGTCGGGCTTCGAGTTCTCGGGGTTTGGCTAGGCTCTGGGATCTTGTTGGGCTATGGGGACCAGTTGAGCTTTGTTTGGTTTGGCTCTGGGGTCTGGCTGGGCTTGGGGTCCATTTGGAGTCTGGTAGGGCTCTGGGGTCTGATGGGTCTGGGAGTCCTGTCGGTCTGTGGGATCTGGTAGGGCTCTGGGATCTAGTTGAGCTGTAGGGTATGATTAGGCCATGGGGTCCAGTTGGGCTATGGTGTCTGGTTGGGTTATTAGTTGTCCAGTTGAGCTGTGGAGTCGATTAGGCTCTGGTGTCGGGTTGGGTTTTTGGTTCTAGTTGGGCTGTGGTGTGCAGCAAGGCTCTGAGGTCCAGTCAGGCTATGGAGTTCAGTCGGGCTCTAATTTTCTTGAGGTTCGGTTACAGTTAGGTTGTGGGGTCCAGTTAGGCACTGGGGTCTGGTTGGGCTGTGGGTTACGGTTGGGCACTGGAGTCCAGTAGAGCTATGGGGTCCAGTTGGGCTGTGGGATGTGATTGGGCTCTGGTGCCCTGTTGAGCACTGGAGTTCTGTTGGGCTTTGGTGTCCAATTGGATTGTGGGGTCTGGTTGGGGCTCTGCAGTCTACTTGGGCTCTTAGATCTAGTTGGGCTCTGGGGTCTGGTTGATGATGTGGTGTGGACCTGGAGTTTGGATGAGGTTCGATTTGGGCGAGGGTTTCAGTTGGGTTCTGGTTGGGGTATGAGGCACAATTGGGCTCCAGGGTCCAGTTGGGGTCTGGTGAAGTTAGGCAGCGTTGCTTTCAATTCACAAATAAAAGCTTTTGTAGTCTTCTGAGTGGTTCTTGTAGTTTTTAATATTAATATCTTGAGTTTGGCAAGTTCATGAAGTTTTTGTGTGGACATCCATATTTTTATAATTGAATGTCTTAATGTGGCGATGCAGGCGAGTTGGTTCATGATTACAGCTAATAGCAGCGCGGAAAAAACACAAGGACAAAGGGAGGAATTTGCCGGCATTGCCACATTGATCCGTTACATTTCTTCTACAGCAATCAGCACTCGTCTTGTGAATTCTTCCCTTTGTCCTTGCGTTTCAGCGCTCGTCTTGTGAATTCCTCCCCTTGTCCTTGTGTTTTTTGCGTGCTGCTACCAGTTGAATGTCTTAGCGAATACGGTCGAGCCCGGTTATATCACACCCGGGTATTTTGAATTCTTGTTTTTATCGAACAGTCCATACATCCCCTTGAAAATCACATGTAATAGTATAGGAGCGTTATTTTTCGGTATCGAGCTCTCATGGCAGAACTCCCATGGCGGGGCATTCGATATAGCAAACTAAAACGGCCGCCCGTCGCTTCGCTTCTTGCGTGGTCGGGTAGCGCCGGTGCCAGCACATGGCTCGCGTTGCGGGGCAGGCAGACCGCCAAGCCAGCATACACGCACGAGAATACGCACCGAAACAATGGTTGTAAAGAAAAAAAGAAGAGGATGGCAAAAGCAAGGGGAAGGGCACGTGCGAGCCTAGGGACGGCAGGGAGTGGTAGCCTGCACTGCGTGCATGCGCTCTTTCCCCGAACACCATTTTAGCTGCGCCCTAAACCCCAAAATAAAATAAGCAAAAAAACAAAAATTTTCGTCAAGGTGTTGAGAGCGGTTGAGCAATCGCACTTTGAACGCCTTATCTTTGTTTACCTTTTTCTTTCTCCGTTATTGCTTGCCAGTTGTTTTTTCTTTTTTTGCTGCCTAAATTTATTAGGCAGGTTTCTTCTTTTTTTTGCTTGCTTAACTTTATTCTATGGATCAAGTTTATTTTTTCTATGCAGCTCGCTTTTTCTGTTTTGTTTTTAATTTAATTTTTTAATTATTTTTGTGTTTTGTTGTCGGTGCTGTGTGGAGATCGTGGCAGGCGTAAACAATCGCAAACACGGCGTAAATGCAGCGGTGTTTGTGATCTTCACCAACTAAGCTCTACTGTAGCAACTCTTAGAGGCTCTATTTGGTGAGGTCCCGTTTGTCACGGCCTTAGGTATTAGCAGAGACACGCAGAAATTTCAGCTGGAGCTTAACATATTTTTGTATATCAAATAATCGAGATATTGAACTATTTTACAATCCCCTTTGGATTCGATATATCTGGGTTTGACTGTATTCTGGTTTTTCCCAGCATTTTACAAAAATGAAATTGTCACAAATGACAGTTGAAGAGGCAGTAAATATTGAAGGAAACTAAATGTTTAATGGAGCGAACTTGTGCCTAAAACAAAATAGAAGAAGGCTAGCGTCGTCCTCGAAGACGACGTCCTCTAGGTGTCATTCTCGGGGTTGTCCTAGAAGTCATCCTTGAGGTCATCCTAGACGTCGTCCGAGAGGTCGTCCTAGAAGTCATCCTTGAGGTCGTCCTAGACATTGTCCTTGAGTTTGTCCTAGACGTCCTCGAGATCGTCCTTGAGGTCATCCTCGAGGTAGTTCTAGACGTCGTCCCTAAGGTCGTCCTAGGCGTCGTCCTTGAGGTCGTCTTAAACGTTTCTGAGGTCATCCTAGCAGTCATCCTAGACATCGTCCTCTAGGCGTCATCCTTGAGGTCGTCCAAGAAGTCATCGTTGAGGTCGTCCCATTATAGTGCAGCTTCGCTGGTCTTCCATCTTCTTCAAGTGGAAAGGCTGAAAGTTTTTTTTTTTTAATATCCACTGTAGACAGAATCACCTTTGGCCTGAACCTTCTCTTGAGAGAGTTGTGTGTTCTGTTCATGTTTTTTCTGTGGCTATTTTCTCCTTTTGTTATTACAAAAGGTAAATGTTATATGTTTCTTGTTTCTCCAAAGATATGGCTGTTCAAATATTTTAGTTTTCGAATACTTTTTACAAATATTACGGTACTATATTCTTTGCTTCGAGATAAACTCTTATAATCATACCTCTTGAACCGTTGACAAAGTCACGGTCGTGCTGGGTTAGTTTGCCTCCCTGAGCATGGGTACTTCACAATGGCACCGATGCACTGTGGAGAAGTGAAACCTCATCACTGCAACATTGCCACGTGCTTAGAGAAAAAGCATATCTTCAGAGGGGGATTCTCCAGGGAGGAATTCTTCAGAGAAGGATTTTTTTTAGAGAGGGATTGTATGCATGTGCACATGGTGTATTTACCTAGAGCAAAATTGCAACCTGATGGGCAGTGTTATCTGCCTCACACTTTATCCAAAATCAAACTAGGGCTATTATGCAAGACGTGTTGGGCAGCAGTGTCCTCACAAGCTGCATTCATTAGAGGCCACACTTTTTTTTTTTTAATTTGAGATTGAAAGGGGAGGATATTTGGGTATAGCAAGAGGATGTATATATTGAGTTAGTTACATATATCTGGGCATTATTCTAGTGTTTAATTTTGTATCAAGTCCATTATTTACCTCTAGGCCTTTTAGGCATTTAACTATCTCAAAGCTCAGTTCATAAATAGATTAAAATTTACTGTTTTTAGCAGTGGGCAAATGTAAGCTTGACAACTACTTCAAGGAGTTCAGCCAAATTTCTGCTTAAGCTTCATGCTACAGTAGTGAAATGTTTAAATGGTGCAGCAACTGTTCACTATTTTTTTAATCGAGAATATTTGGCTCAAATAACAGTTTGCTTCGAATTTGCTTCAAACTCAAAGTTTGCTATTTGCACATGCCTACGACGTCGAGGCCAGTTAGCGGGACGGCCTTAGCCGAGTGGTGAGTCGCTCAGCCATATCCGAGCTGGCCTGGGGCAAGTCGGCCATAGCCGAGCCTGCCTCAGCCTAGCCCAGCCGGCCGTGGCCGAGCCCCAGGTACGACTCGAACGTCCGTCGCCCAGGTGGTGTGCAACCTGGTGGGGGGCCCCCGGCCAGCCTTGCGCCTGCAGCAGCAGCCGCAGCCGCAGCCAGCCGCCTCCTTCGGACCCAGGCTGCTGGCGGTACCCAAGGCACCTCCCGTCTCGGCCGCCCCCACCACCCTGGCACCGCCCGTTCTCCTCAGCGGCCCTCCACAGCCCACCGTGGTGCTCGGTGAGTGGCGTCGAGCTGGCGCCTCTGGCTTCAGCCCCTTGTGCAGTCATTCCTAAGAAGTGGCAATGGATCGGATTGGCTAGGGTGCCTAGACCGGGTACAACGCCCGCCGTGCACCGAAAGTGGTCCCGACGCGACCACGAATTACGTCGCGAGAGCCACTGCATCACGCTGTTGGATGTTGCGATCTCGGCGGTTGGTCATCAAAATTCAGACAAAAAGTGTGAGTGAACGCGAGTGTAGCTGTCGCCGCAACTTCCCAACCTGTGACTGCTGTAGTTCCTCTTCAGCTCGACAGGTAACTGTCGAGCTGAAGAGCAACCTACAGCAGAAGCGTCCGCTGTGTTCACCTCCACTGCCGTGCCATGCCATCACCAGGCGGCAGGCTGCTGGCGATTTGTAAAAAACGCAACAGCACATGAAGAACATAGAGAACAAGCAACTAGACAGGACAGGCACTGTGCTCTCTAGTTCTTTAGTCTCTCTTTATTTTTTGTGCTGTGTTTTGCCTTTATGAGCGAGGGGGTGCAACCTAAAATGCCGACCTCTGTTCCTTGCAGCCAACCAGGTGAAGGGCAGCCCTGCGTACGTGATGGCTCCTCCCGTTGTGGGGGTGGTGGGGGGCCAGCCGCTCAAGGGCATCAAGGTGATCCCCGTGCCCCCCCGAGGTGCCCGGCCCCTGCTGGCCCGCCTCATTGGGCCCCCCCTGCGACCCCCCCTGGCCCCCCGGCCCCTGCTGCTACAGGTGCAGGCCGGAGAAGCGCCCCCCACAGAGGGGCCCCAGTGAGGTGCCACCTCGAGGGACATCCCTGGAGGCTCTTCTGGCACCAAAAGACCACTTCCCCGGGGATTGTGCACCAACTGCGCGTCGGTGGTACATTGGCCGCACACCAGCCGCGCATTGGTGTCATGTCGGCTGTATGTGCAGCACATCGGCGGCATGTCAACCATGCGCCAGCAGCATGTTGGCGACACGTCAATGGTACATCCGATGCATGTAGATGGCACATCGGTGGCACATCGACTGCACATCTGCGGTATGTTGGCGACATGTCGACAGTATGTTTACTGCACATCAGCGGCATATCGGTGGAATGTTGGCACATTGGCGGCATGTCGGTGGCACATTGATTGCGCTTCACCGGCACGTCAATTGTACATCGGCGGCATGTCGGTTGCATGTCAGCTGGCAACCTGCAGGGGCAGCGTGGTTCTCCCGCGGCTGGGGGGGCACCTGAGGGACATTTTAATGCCTGGCCATGCTCCAGACCACTTTGGTGGGTCACAGGACGTGATGCGGTTGGTCCTTTGGCATCTTCTTCATGCTTCTGGCTCTTAATGGGAAGGGTCAAAGAATGAGTGTGTATAAAAATAAATGTATGTGAATACCAATGTTTACGAGTGAAGTTGTCCCTCTTATAACCTTTTCTATACTTAAGAAAATGGGAGGGCTGATTAGAAGGTGTCAAAATGGAGTTTAATGCAGATTTGCATTCTAACGGGTGCCAACTTAGACCTTTTCTGGCATGACATTGCTACCTTCAAAAGTGGGAGGGCAGCACAGGTGGAGAGGAAAGATGTGCTCTAAAACAGCGGAAACAATAGCAAAAGTGGAGAGCATATTTGTCCTTTCCACGTTTCCACCTGCCGCTCTAGGTGCTCCATTGACCACTTGCACTCCCTCTGTCAGTCATGGGGTGCACATGTCAAAAGTAGGAGTTGGCAATGTACGTGCATGTCCTCTCGCAAGTATCGTCGAAACAAAGAATGAAGAAAAAGGACGACAAAGGGACGCTTCGAAAAAGTGCCAAGAAGGTTGAAACTGAATAAGAGTGTTGGCGACAGAAGAAAGAAGGGGCTGAACATGAGGGGAGACTTCGAAAGAAAGCCGAAGCTGAATTTAAGGTCGGCCGATTGTTGGGGAAGTTGAGGCTGGTTGTCAACACCATTTACTTCAACTCAAAGTGAAGCTTGTCTGAACATTCTTGCCTTTAGCTACAGTAGACTCTCATTAATTCAAACTCCAGGAAGTCACAGATTTTAGTTTGAATTACCAGAAGTTTGAATTATCAGAAATTCATCTAAATATGATACTAGACAACATTATGATTTGTTACATGAATAGCTACACATACAAAGCAGATTTTTGCCAGTTTCCTCTACATAGAATAATTATAAGCAAGTACAGGCATAACACATTGGGGAAAGAACTGTAACGTTAAGTTTATTCATCCGGCAAAAAAGTTGTTGATTGTGGACTGTTTAGTCAGTACACGAGATCTTGAAACAAAATTTTCAATACCAGCCAACGCAACTAGCTCTTTACGGAACTCTTCCTTTGCAGACAGAAACTTCCAAAGCTGAGCGATGTGCTCAAAGGCCTCTGCGGCTGTGACAGTTGGTAGTGGGTCATCCCTTTCTTCATCGCCATCTTCACTCACTGCTGCACTGTGCTGGCATTACTTCCTTATGTCCTCTAATGAGTCATTACGACAAACACACACATCGTCGTAAAGACTAGCGTATTCCGCCAGCTCGGCATTCACATTATGGGCTTCAAGGCCAGAAAGCATGATGCCAGTGAGCTGTTCCTCATCGTCGATGTCATCTTGGTCATCATTGCTAGTCTTGAAGCACATAATGTGAATGCCGTTTTCCGCTAATGTGTGCCCGCTTGAGCCCCGTTGAGTGCGCTTCTTTCCGAGCACCGCTGCACTGCGGAAAAGCAACATTCGCAAAAACAAGCTTCGCGAGTATTGCTTCTCTGCGGTGCACCGGTGCTCGGAAAGAAGCGCACTCAACGGGGCCGCGAGAACTAAAAAGTATGAATTAAGCGAAAACGCCTTTCGAATTAAGCGGCTTATAAATACATTAAAAACATAGCGGGACAACCAAAATTTTCAGATCTGTTTGAATTAACCGGAAGTATGAAATATCCGAGTTTGAATTATCGCGAGCCTACTGTAAATGCTGAGGCTGTGAATGCTGAGAGCGACGAATACGAATGGCAAAGAAGATTTCACGATGCAAGCTAAACTTTTGCCATGGCGGTCACTGCCGGCCGCTAATTTGTGCCTTGTTTTGTCGGTGAGTGGCAGATGAAAGGAGTCATAATTTAATCATTCTCTCGATGACATTTCAAAAACCTCGTTTCAAAGCTCAAATAAGCACGAAAGATCTTTATGCCTGTGATTGGGTAATTAAGTGTGGATGACGGGAGAATGACGTGACGATCGTTTTGAATCTCGCATTTCAAGATAAAGGAGCGGTCTGGCTTTGGGGCTTTACATGATTGTAAACCTGCCCCAGTCTCAGGTTTACAATCATGTTCAACTTGCACCAGCTCGCCTGCACTTTATTTTTTCGGTAACTATGCATCATTTTGCATTTTTATTTGATGTGGCTTTCTGCAGTCACAGAATAGACTCTTGCTTATCTTATATTTGGCAGTACGCCGAGATTCTTGAAAAGGTGACCACACTGAGCAGTACGAGCAGCCTAGGGATCGCAAGTGAGACGGCTCGAGCCCGAGCTGCTTGGAGGTGCATATTCGAGCGCAGGCACAGCAATTACGTTGGAGTTTCCCGCACAACCTACTTGTGGCCCTGGCCACATTTATAGCAAATTGTCTTGGGAAAACTGAAATAATCTCTACCCACATTCTTTGGTCTAAGATACTTAGAGTGACTGGGGTGAGCAGTGGAAAGGTTGTAGAACTTCAGAAAGTGAGCTAGAGTGTCCTTAGCGGTAGTTGAGAGTTTTCATCGTTTTAAGGCATATTTTAACTGACAGATTTTAGTTCTGTTAGTCAATGATGTTCTTAGAATAGGAACTCGTAAAGGTCTCCACGATATGTTGACCTGTTGAAGGGCAGCTTGAACTGGGCAGCAATCTTTTGCTTTTAGATGTCTTTATTTAAAGACAAAAGGAGTGAGTGCCATTGATGCCGCACTGCTCTATCATTTAAGAAAAAGAAAAGCTTTTCTGGTTTATTTTTATACAAAACTTAAACTACAGAAACGTTTGTTCTCTAGTAGTGAGGGTAATGGTTATTTTTATCTTATTGTTCATAGACTACACCTGTTCATATTAATAATGATAATTATGGGCTTCCTTTTAATGGTTTGCCCTCGGGCGTATCTTTTAAGGGCGTTGTGAAACACTTTAAATTTACCTTGTAAGCACATTTTGCTCGATAATGATGAAGGTGTTCCTTAAAGTATTTGGCTTGGTAAAATCCAAGGTGACCCAAGACACTAAATTGTAAAATAACGTCTCCATACCACAAGCTGCATCACACCCTTTGTTGAAAACCTTGTTCAATAGTTTAATTTCTCAATGTCTCGGGTAACCTTGGATCTCTTTCCCCTTCAGCGGAGACACTTGGCATCTACTGTAAGCATCCAGCTTTGCACGAAGTGCAGCACCTACAAATTTAGTATATGGTATGTTTTATTACGATAAGTGGCAGTTCGAGCTAAGTCGTTGAAATCAAAGTCATTGCACCTATTATCTGCATTAGCACCAAATATCAAGTGCACCCCAGGTGTGGGATGCTTTTGTGGGGGATGGGGGAAAACATACCATACTTTGTTTTGGTTCCAAGGACGAGCTTTTCTAAACAACCGATTTTGCTGTTCTTTCCAAAACCAGCATTTTAGTCGCGCAAGGGAAGTGAAGCCACAAGAACAGCGTCCAATAATTAATTCTCGCAAGTGAACAGAAATTCGGGCACTTTGGCACCCATGTGCAGCTGGTGGACACAGCTAACAAAGCTGGCCGGCCGTCCCTGAGCATGTGAGAAAACAGCAGCTGTACACATTAGGTGCAGTGGATCAGTCTCCAACAATTTATTTCCATTTCGACAAAAACCCCGAGACTGGGACAAAAAGGGACCACCAGCTCGTTTGCGCCCTTACCTTTTGTTCACTAATTTATTTCCTTTGGGCAGGTATGGCCCTGTAGGAGCCACAAGCCATGCGAGGGGCCTGCATTCGTTCGGGCCCCTCGCAAAGAAGATTGTTTGGCAGAGGCACCGAGAGCAGAATGGTTGCCGGCAAACCCACGTGTAACAAACCCGGGAATAGCAAAATATTGTATATAAAGAACTATTCGTCGCATATACTCCCGCTGCTATACGTGTGATTCTAGCCCACTTTTAATGAACAATTGCGAAGGAACGCGCTGCAAATATAACCAAACGATTGTCAAACGTAATAAACTTTTTTTGCAAAAATTACTGGAAAATGGTGTGCCAGAATTTCAGTGGAAAATAAAATCTTCGTAGTCCTGTTTGGCGTCGCGTTTCAGCATCGGCCGGGATTTCTCCAGAAACAATTGCACTTCTCTGCACTCGACGGATTTGGCTTTGCCACATCACAAGCTTGTTCAGAAGCTAGTTCACAAGCTTACTTGTGTGCGAACTTGGAAACGTAAAAGCAGAACACGGTGAAAACTGGAAAGTGCTCAGGTGGACGAGACGTTGCGCCACCCTGCACCATCTGGGGAAGCTGATCAGAAATAACTCCAACTTCATTGTAGCTATACCTTGTACTGAAAAGTTACAAAAATAGGACAGCAGCCATATTGAAAGGCTATGCTATATGCTGCAGGATTGTTACGTGTAGTGGGCATAAACAATCAATTTTTTTCTGCAAAGCCTCTATATATGTACAACAAATTCTGGATATAGCAAACATATTTTGCACGTAGAAAATGTGTCATTCATCAAAGAATTTCCATCGGTGTTTCCTAGTTATCGTTGCATACTTTATTTTGGTACACTTTAATTCTTTGTACGTACACCCTCCCCTGCCTCAGCTGTCGAATGGTAGCTGCCAGTATGTCTAAATAATTAAATAAATAAAATTTCCCGCCGACTTCCTTATAACCGGGTTCGACTGGTAAGGACTGGCAGCATTCCAACGCCGAGGAAATTGCCCTCAACTCTGCGGGTCAAAGGCACAACGTGGTTGACGCGAGATTTCGGGCCCTGCCACCCGCCGCAGTCTAAGCCAACGAAGCCTTTCTATTTTAGCAATGCATGGCTCAAAAGCGTCCGAAATAGGAACGGGAGAGCTTAACGGGACAACAAGCTTAAAAAGACATCCTGCCCCTCGTGCGAGAGACATATTTGAAGACTGACAACACCTCTCACACGAGGGGCAGAGCCTTTCATCCGAGTCTCCTGGAGCCGATTAATTTATAGCCGGCACATGCATACCTCCAACTGCCGACAGAGGCAGTGCCCCAATGAGCAAGCTTAGGCGAAGGCAGGCAGGGAGGGTTCGGTGCCTGGAACGCGTTTCCGACCAGTGCGCTCATCGCGTCCTCAAATGTAGTCCCCCGAGCTTTGCCCGACGACGTCACTTTGGCATAGAGCCGTTGCTTGCCACGATCTTGGTGCCGGCAGAGCAGGGAAGGCGGATGCGGCAGATGCCCGCTGCAGGTCGCTCTCGAGCACGATGGCCTGCCGAAGCTTCGGTAGCCAGTGACAATGGGGACGCTCGAGTTTGCTTGCCATTTTCGCCGGAACTTCTAGAGCCAAGTGCCGGGATCGGGACATTTGACAGCACGAAACGCCACCTCGTGCGACATCATTTGTTGCCACAAACGAACCACTTTCATTTCGTAGCAGTACGGTATGCTCAACACGCCGGTTGAAGACGCGTTCCAGGTGTCGCGGCACAGAGGACGCCTCCACGGCACCCATCGACAGCCGGCCAGGGCGGACCCGAATCTCTGCGGCGGCGGTGCGGACACCTAGTCGAGGCCGAAGAGGCTGAGCGCGTTGTAGGTGGTCCTAAGGGCCAGGTCGTGGGGCTCCAGCCCCAGAAGGGCTGCGCACAGCTCGAGGGTGGCCGGCAGCGAGCAGGGTTCATTGCGCTGGAAGGAGCAGTAGCGCTCCACCAGGCCCAGGGCCCGGGGGCTCGGGACGGACTTCAGGGACTCCCCAAGCCGGGCCGCCCTGGGGTTGGGGCACAGGAAGGGGCTGTCGGTCTCCAGGAGGAGGCGCTCCGTGGGCACACCTCGCAGGGCCTCCCGCAGTGGGCCCTTGTCCTTCCACAGGTAGCCTGCGACCGCCGGGGAGACGACCAGAGTAAGACAAGACCCGTCGGGCCAGTTGGTGCACAACGCTCAGAAAACTGGGAGAACGGAGACGCGACACAAAGACGGGGACTCAGGAAAGGCCTCGTACGCATCAACTTTTTCGTGTCCCTCTTCGTTGCACTTATGAGTTTCCCAAGTAACCCGGGTAAGTTTTCCGGTTGCCCGGGCGCCGCGATTGCATGGCGCAAGATCTATCCTTGGATTAGGTGGCCTCAACCGGATCCATTCATCTGTCAAGCCGTCAGTCTCTGCAACTAGGTATACCGACTGGGTGCTTGTTGGGGAAGTTGGTACAATGGAATTTCGGCGCCTCTAGCACTACGGACTTGTCGTCTGGCAGGCGTCGTCTCCTTTTGCACCTCCCCTAGAGCTCGGAAGTTTGGCACCGCTGAATGGCACCACCCTTGGAGCGAGCTTCCTACCTTCGACGACTCTTCTGCGTCTCGCGATCCTTGAACGTACACGCGCGGCTGAAACATGACGCGATGCCACGGGAGTGTGCTGGAGGCTGGACACCCGAAAGAGACACCATTCTCATCTTGCTGGATTGGCACGGCCAGTCACACCAGCGAGTCTTAATTTGCCCGATTACGTTTCAAGAACTCGCCAGAGGGGGTTTCCGAAACTTGAACGTGGAAAATAGACTAACAATGCTCCGAGACCAATTTTTCCGAGAGGATGGACCGAAGAAAGAAAGGAGGAGAACTTCAGCTTTTGGCTAGACGCTGTGGTTTTGGCGGACCCTTCGTCCAATGCCGCAGAGCCATTCATTTGCCGAGTTTGCGTCGCCCTAAAAGTACCGAGAAGCGTAAGGTCCGCTCCGACAGTTGCCGCGGAGTCGCGACACCAGGACTGGTGGATTGTTGTCGTGGCTTCCAGACATCGCCTCACCTGTGACCCCGATGTAGAAGCCCATCGCGATGTACTTGAGTGCCTGCTCGCTCGTGCCGGTGAAGCAGTGCACGACGGTTGGGGGCAGCCGGTCCGCATACTTCTCGAGCACGGCCAGCATCGGGGCGAAGGCATCTCGCTCGTGTAGCACCAGGGGTTTCTTGAGTTCGCAGGCCAGTGCCACCTGCAACGGCAACAACGGGAGATCCGGTTTACGGGGGGGGGGGGGCACTCTTCTGACTTGGGGTCCCTACCTGACTGTTCATCAAACTTGTAAGTGCAAACAGACAAACACAAAGAAAGGGACAGGAACAAGCTCTTGTCCGTGTCCCATTCATTGTGTCCATCTCTGTCTGCACTTACAAGTTTCCTCAATATCAGGCAACAACTGGCCTAGGGGTGGCCAAACTGCGGCTTGCAGTTTGGCCACCCCTAGTGAACGTATCCCCCTCCCCATCGCGAGATCAGGAAGAAATGTAGAATGAGAGTTCAGCTTGCATTTTGGCAGCCTTGTTTCTACGTACAAACTTCCGACATGGAGCTTTTTTCACGAATGGGGACGCACAGCAACATACACTAAAACCGCTATATGAGGGAAAGGCACTGTGGCTGCACCAACTGAGATGAAAGAAATAAACAGAAACTGCCACGCCCCCTTTTTTACTCTAGCTCTTCAGAAAGGGTTTTTCTTGTGGCTCTTTGTGTATGTAAGAGTCTCGTAGTACCTGCCTGTGCAGCACCTCCAGCTGCACCTCAGGCGGCGAAAAGTTCTTGTTGAAGTCGAGTCCGCACTCGCCGATGCCCACGCACTCCGGGTTCGAAGCCACCTCCCGGAGTAGCTGCAGCGTGTCATCGTCCCAGGACTTGGCGTCGTGCGGGTGGATGCCTGCAACGAGTCAAGTCGGCGTTGATGCAGACTCCCATGGTTTCGGTGCCCTGGGGGTACTACTAACGCTTCTGCATATATAAAAGTAAGGCAATTCCTTGTTCAAAACGTTCCTCCTCGCCTGTGCCTTTACCAAGAAACGGCGATGGGTGGCCAGGGAGAGTGAGGTTGGGAGAAGGAGAGGGAAGCGCGCCGGCCAATCACGGCGTTAGGTGAGCGCACGTGATGTTGTCATTGGCTGGAGCCTTTGCTCAAAAATGGCGTCGCGCAGCCAGGGGGAGAGAGACTGGGAGAGGGGGAATGGCGTTACTTTTCCGTTTACAAGGGCTACTATGTGGTCCCCACCGGCGGTGCAGTAGAGCGTGCCCGGGAACATGCGAGTGAGGCGCAGTGCTTCCTTGGTGCTGTGCGCCGACGTGCCGACCACCAGCATCTTCTTCACCCCGGCGTCCTTGGCGCGCTGCACGACGGCGTCCAGGTCCCGGCTGTACTTCTTGTTCACTAGGTTGGCGCACACGTCCACCAGGATGTAGTTGCCCGCGTCCGGAGAGACGCCTTTGCCGCTCTCCGGGGACAGCTTGGAGAACAGCTGATCGGACGGATCGTTGGACGCCATGACACGGATGAGATGTTACGGATAGAATGGCACTTTGCTGATCACTCGGGCTCTAAACTCGGGTCGGTACGAGTTACTCCGGCTAGTGATATCACGTGACAACGTAAGTGTAGCAACCCTGAACGCGGGTTGCTTTTTCGAACACTGAGGTGCAAAACTTCTACCCTGAGTGAGAAATCGAGTACATATTGGAACACGATCCAATCCAACGTTGACCCAATTAGACGTCGGCTTGCGCCACCTAGTATTGTGGTTCTCTACCTCTAAAATAACCCTGCAGAACGATTTTTTTTCTCTCAAAACAGATATCGAAAAATAATAAAAATAAATGTTCATTTATTTTGTACAAAACTAGCTGCTAGAAGACGACGCCCTCCAGGCTCCGTGCGTGCCGTGCTACCAGTGTTGTTATCACTCATTATTCCGATTCTAGATTCCTCCAGTATGTAACCCCGTAAGTGATGACGTCACAACTTGGCGTCTGGGTCCAAACAAACCGTTGCTAGGGACGTTGCTATGGACTAATGCATGGAGACTCCACACGACGCTACATTTTCGCTTATAAGTAAGTAAATAATTTTTTGTTAGCAACCTAACTTCTTGATATCTAATTATGAAGATGTTCTTGTCATCTCAGCGTCGTATTGCAACGATGAAAGCCATTTTTGAAGTGTTCCACTCCACTTTGCTTTGGTAGCAGACGACACGGTAGATTTTTCATTGAATTGCGTCGGTAAACGAGCAACACAAGCAAGTGTATCGCCATGGCCGCAGAGGCCTCCGCAATGTGCGTTTCTTTTTTTCTTTTGTGAAGAACCCAGCTTAGTTCAGAGGGGCGAAAATTACGTAAAATCTAACCACGTCATGCAGATCAGAATTACGACGACGACCTGAAGTGCATTAACGGCGTAGTGCAGGCCAGCATGAGAAACAAATCGTACGCCGTCGAGGTAAGTCGTTTGTAATTATTAATATTGAGGTTGTCAGGTTGTTAAAATATTGCATGTCTATCGCAATTTTTTTTTTTTTTTTTTGTATGCATTAAATTTAGTGGATGTGCTCTTTCGGCGAAGATCTCCATCGAACCCGCAATGAGAGTACGATCTGTAATAAACTCACCTTACATTTTTTATCCAGTTCTTTCGCGTTTTGCGGTTTTGCGGAAATCTGAAGAAACTGCAAGAATCTTTCTCCACGCGATGGTTACAATCAGATACGAAGCACCCTCCCATAGCGCGAGTCCGCAAACTAATTTTGGGATCTCTACCGATCGCCCGAAGTACTTTTCTCACGGGTGCATTGCGATCTTGCAGACGATCATCTCGATTGACGCCCGGACTTTTGATAAACCATATTTTGCATCGCACCCCACTATGAATTCTTATAAGTGTCTGAAACTCATATTTCAAATAAATGCAATATCAGAATATCATTTACATTCACCCGATTCAGACGCTGGCGCCGGCTTGGCCGGCGGGCGTGTGGCAGACGGCATTCTTCTTGCATTCGTCGTCTGCTGCAGGCATCTTGAGGACCGGAAGTTGCAGTCGTAAATATTTCAGAAACAAGCGATTACCGGCACACTTCTGTCGCAACATATAAGACAGTCAAGCTTTCTATATCTGTGATTTTTAGAAGTTTAAATCCTACTCCCGATTTCTGAAGGGTCGGGTTTTCGTAGCGAAACCTAGCCACATGTATTTGTCCATAACAACGACCCTAGCAACGGTTTGTTTGGACCCATGACGTCACACTTACGGAGTCAACGTTAAAAGAAAAATAAACAAAGTCGTTAGATGACCAAAACAATATTCTGTTTGTGTAAGGCTCGTTAAAATAATCAGTGCTGGGGAAAAGTAAAAGAAAATCAACCATCTGCGTTGCCAAAATCTGCTCAAGCGGCTCAAGGCTCAAGTCATTTAAAGTCGCAAGACGCAGCCCTAGCACGTTAGTTGGCTCGTTGTTTCGAGTCTCTCATCAAATCTTCGCGTCATGGCATCGGAGCGGTATAGTTTTTCCTTGACAACATTTAGGTGAGTCTTTATTAGATATAGTTGTAGACCAGGCAGTTGTTCCTAGTTGCAAAAGGGGTGTGATCTGGGCATGCGAACTGCCCCTTGTGCTTCGCTTTCCTCTTCTGGGTAACTCGTGGTTTGTGCTGTGTCACCCTGGCTCTGAAAATGCTACGCCAGGCGATCCTTGTGGTACACGGTCCATCCGTCACATGTGAATTCGTCGCAGGGAAGCAGGGCAGCTGATTGCAGCGACGGCGTAGGGTGATTTGTCTCATGTACAACCGCTCGCGCGAGAACCGCCTGCACCCATGGACATGCCGGGTTCCACTTGAGGCTGTTTGTTCGGCGACCGACGTGTTCTCTCTCGGGACCGCTTTATGCCCTATCAACTCCGATGTAGAAATGACTGGAGTTGAGATGCTTTCCTTGAGGTAGAATGCAATGGAAGTGTGGGGGTGATCTGCTGCGAAAAAAAAGTGCAGTGCTCAGCCCACAATACTTTCGGGGCGTTATTTAGGTACCCATAGATTTCTTGAATGCGATGACTCGCCTTATTTGATTTGCACCAACAGAGGTGAACCCACAATTGCAGCTGATTCAGCCGATCGAATAATCTACATTCAAGTGGAGTGGTGCTACATGCACGACACGGAGAGCTCATGCCATTTGGGTCGCCCTTTTCGGAGGCGCGTGTATCACTGGGGAGCGTGTTAACCCCCAGTAATACTCATAAGAGTAAAGCTATACGCACTACGTCGTGCACTTCGACCGGAAATTGCTATACGCACTACGCGGAGAGCTCATGCCATGTGGGTCACCCTTTTCGAACGGCGCGTGTTTCACTGGGGAGCTCGTTAACACAACCCCCGGCCTGCGTTCGCGCCGCTTCGCGGAGACAGTGTCCGGCTGCTAATTAGAAAACTTCACCCGTACACGCTGCTTCGCGGCGTCCAGCCGGCAACCCAAGCCCCGCTGTCCCCGATTGCATCTCTGGAATGGGAGTCCCATAATACCATTTAGTTCTACAAAGTTTCGTCAACAATTTTTTTTTTTTCTTAATGTTGATTGTAAAAAAAAAAAAAAAAAAAAAAAAGTCGTAAATACTGCCAAATGCCTCAAAACAAAATGTTTGAGAAAAAAAGTAGGCCCACACCGCGGATCAAACCCACGTCCACTTGTGTATGAAGCGGACACCTTACCACTCTGCTATGCCACCGCTTAGAAAACTCGTTGTAACCATTTGTTTTATTTGAGTTTCGCGTAGTGCATATGGCCCTTTTCGGCCGAGGTGGTGTACTCGGGGAAAACTTTCCGTACCGTTTTTGAAGATGGGAGGAATGAATGCCCTGCATTAATCGCGCTCAACCATACACCGCCATCCTGATTATTAGGAGTTGGGGGAAAAAATTAGTCTTAGAAGGGCGTGAGGAATCATATCATGGTCTTTTTAGACTTAGGCTAGGTGGTGCAAGCTACCGCCCATTACAAAAGAGTATAGCCATTAACGTCCATCCATCCATCCAGAATGTGCGTCCGACCAACCTTATGCCTTTAGATGCTCCTACAAACTATGTGCATTTTGAATGTGAACTAAAAAACTTAGATTTACTCATCATAACCATATCATTCTATCTGTCTGTATTGCAAGTTTCATACTCGCAAATGTGCCTCACACAAAGACTGGTCATTCTGATGCACAGAATAATAAAGCATTATTATTATTAAAGCGGTAATTCCATAGGCGCAACCAGGCTCAAGGTAGCGTAATCAAGGTAATGAAGTGTTTGTGGTTGAAGCGATGGTGGCTGAAATGCTCGTGGCCCAAGCGCCCTGGGCTTAAGCGCAGGTCGCATAAGCGCCAGTTGCGCAAGCTCCGTTCGCGTAAGTACCGGTCACATAAGCGCTGGTTGCGTAAGCACCCATCGCGTAAGCGCCGGTGGCTGAAGTTGGTGTGACCTGACATCCTAGAGGTCGTCCTTGAAGTCACCCAAGACGTCGTATCATTTCACTGCATTTCATCACGTTTGGTCTAATGAATTATTATATCTTTGACTCTGTGGTCCCAAAAAGTTCTTTCCAAATATAAAATATTTTCCCCCAAAAAAAACAAAAAACGAACAAATCTATATATTTATCTACCAGTTGACATTTCCATATTTTTGCCTAATTTGTAGAAAGGTGGTGAAAAATCAGCTTTACTGGTTTGCAAGATTCGGGGTTAAATCTCCAATTCGGCTAAAATCTGACACATTGCTAATTAGTATGCAACTATTAGCCGACTTCGAGGCAAAGCACCAACCTATGAATCTTTAGTTGTCAGGTTTGAATCCCAGACAAGGTGCCTGCAATTCTACTGTGGTGTGTCAGGTGCCCTTTGTTAGTTTGACACTAAACCCCTAATATATGCTCTGTGCAACTATGAAGCCAAAGGCAACGTTACAAATGACGGCACGTCCTAAAACATTGCTTGAGCACGCCAGCGACTTGTGCGTCCCTGGACAACCGCTTCGCTGTTTCATATGCCACTTGTCCTTCGACACAGCCACAACAAATTACCATCTTCAGTCATACATTCACACTATAAAAATTTGTTAAAGCACCCCATTTAAAAAAAAAATATATATATGTCCTTTATTATCTTGATATGCATTTGCATATACCATAATTATTCTTTGTCACTGTTAAATACGTGTTTTTATTAATTTATTTTACATCTTTCGTTTTGTACATTAACTGCTTGCTTTAACTGGCATTTTGTCGATATTATTAGTGACTGTCATTCTAACATAGACCCATAGCCAAAACTGCTATGGGTTCAGATGGTTTTCAAATAACTTGTGAGGTGCATTTACCGAAATGAGAACCGTCGATTGATTGATGCTCAACCCGGACGCGTGTCTGCAGCCCCTCGGGCAAGCTGGTGCAGATAGAGTACGCGCTGGCGGCGGTGGCGGCCGGGGCGCCCTCTGTGGGCATCAAGGCATCCAACGGAGTGGTGCTGGCCACGGAGAAGAAGCACAAGTCTGTGCTGTACGAGGAGCACAGCATTCACAAGGTGGAGCTGGTCACGGACCACATCGGCATGGTGTACAGCGGCATGGGCCCGGACTACCGGCTGCTGGTGCGGCGTGCCCGCAAGCTGGCCCAGCAGTACCAGCTCACCTACGGGGAGCCCATCCCGACGGCCCAGCTGGTCCAGAAGGTGGCCTACATCATGCAGGAGTACACCCAGAGCGGAGGGGTGCGCCCCTTTGGGGTGTCCCTCCTGGTGGCCGGCTGGGACCAGGGCAGGGGCTACGTCTTCCAGTGCGACCCCTCGGTGAGCCCCCCTTTTACGGCGACAACGGTTGTACGAACTTCCCAGCTGCATTTGCGGCGGCGGCGGCGCACCTGGTAGAAAGCTCCATTTCACATGCGCTCGTGCACATACTGCTCGTGACACTGGGCGAATTGCGCACTTGGCTCATGCCAGGCGGTTTTATCTTACGGTTGGCGGGGGATGCTGCCACACATTCCTCACCGTAGAACTCGGTTTGCGTGTGCCATCAGACTTAAAGTTTGTGCAAGCTTCGGCAGCTGGAAGTCGAGAAGTCGCGACGCCACCGCCGCTCGCATTCGCTCGTCGCTCTTGCCACAACTTCTGCGACTAACCGCCAGGATTGCGACGTACGGTGGCACGGCGTGCCAGCTCGGGCGACGTCATTCATTGCCAATTCGAGACCACCTTCGGTGCGTGGGATGCTAGACGCACCTGTTGAAGACTCAATCCAGGCACGTATCCTCGGTGCCTCTGTGAAGGGGCACGAGGGAATGCCTTTCAGTGCCCCTAGGTCTTTTGCAAATGGCCTTCCTCAGGGGCAATGATGGATATTGCAGTTTAATGAATGAGGGTTGGTCCCTCAAAGTGTGTGCCATTGCCCTTTGGCATCCCATCTTCTATTTTCGTTGGAGTGTGCGTAGCAAAAGCTAGAAGTTGATTACTTTAAATTAATAGTTGACTCAAGGTAGCCCAACTCATTGCCACACCTTTCGTGGTCCTTGAAGTTGCTGTTTGGGTTTCGAAACGAGAGTTTAAAAGGCAGCCGTCGCTGGAATTGGCCATCAAAATAACCCTTCAGCTGCCGAGGATTAGCATTGCTTGTCTTTTCGTTTTAATTGTAAGCAGTTCCGAGAGAGGCGTTCTGAGGGCCGAGTGAAGCCAAGGTTCCTCCTTCATTGAAAGTAAGGTGTGCAAGCACCCTTTCTTGAGATGGGTCTCAGCTGTGTAAGCAAAATCTCCCATAGCTTCCTGTGTGAGCCCGTAGCACTAATTTCACTACTATACGGGCATGTTTTCTCAAGCTCGGTTCTCCAAGCACCTTGAATTCTCTCAACAGTCCCTTCGGAGAAGCGAAAGGTTTTCCCAGTTTGAGCACTGTTTGTGCATATCTGAGCCCAGGCAGTCTTGTTACTATATTCGGAAGGTTGGGTACAGACTGGCTGGGGAGGAGGAAAAGGAAGTGCCAACAAGACCGGAGAATTTCACACTTGGGTCGAAGCAGTCAGTATACTTAATGCGTTCTTTGGGTTTTTCATTCACCTGATTCCCTGTCACATGAGCCAACTTCCCTTATCATTTCAATCCAGTTTCTCTTCTGAGAAAAGATTGTTACAGTTTGTAGCTGTTCAAGTGCCTGCCAGTAAACAGAGATTGAATAATCTGGGAGCTCTTTCCGAGGGAAATGAGTGTTTATCTTTCACTAATGCAGTAAAATGCGAGAGAATTGGCTGACTCATTCGATAATTGTATAAATTTGAAGTTATACTGTTTCATACTTAGTGTACTACGCTGTTCAAGCTGCTGGCTTGAGCACGTGGTTTGGTCTTGCACTTCATCTACATGTGCTACCGCACAAATGAGATGCTATGTTAAGCCACACTCTTGCACCAGTAGCTTCGAGAGCGTTGTACTCTAAGTATGAAACGAAGTGTGGAAGGAAAACAGCTCTTGTGAGCCACACATTGTCAGTCAATTTATTGAAAAGCAATCTTCCACAGACTACCTACAAACAGAAAAAAATTATAAGGGATTTTATTAGTTAGCCTGTAAAGAGAAAATGTGAAGGGACTGGGGTGGAGCGTCCCGTCCTGGGAACAGATGTTGCACCAGATATTTGTAATCATTCCCATTGTCGCTCATATGAGTAGTCCTCCTGTGATTGGTATTCTGCTGCCAGCCAGGCAATGAGGTTGCGCATCTGTTGCTGTTCGATCCAGTGACCATCTACCTAGGGGTGGGGGGGAGGGACACAGACACACGTGCCTGCACCATTGAGCGTACGTTTGTTGTTGCTCAAAGAAATTTGGGGATTGACTGTACAGGATGTTAATACCTTTAAAAAGACATTACATTACCCCCCCCCCCCTTCCCTCCCCAAAAAAAAAAAAAAGAAAATTAAGCATATAATTTATGTTGTGAGAAGTGTAGTTAGTTTTGGTTTTGCCTCAACTCAAAATGTTTCTCATAGCATATACATTGTCCTATTTTGGGGGAAAACTCCCTTTGCAACATATGCACCAGGCCCTTAAAAAAAAAATGGAAAAAAAAATCTTTAGCCTAATGTTTACTCCATGAGACAGATCTTCTGTTGGGAGTAAGATCGAAACTAATGTCCATTTCGAGACGCTGACCTCGAAATACATAAAAGTTGGTTTAGGTTTTGCAAAATATGGGGGTGGGGGAGGGGGGTCTATGCATAAATATTTCACTAAACCTTTTTTCTTTTTTTTTTTCTTTTTCTTTTTTTGGGGTGTTTTATTTTAGCTTCGTGTTCGTAAAAATAGTTGAATAAAACCGTGTAGACGTTGCAAACCTTCGGGGCCCCCTGGGTGTGGGCCGTTTCTCCTTCCCTCCAGGGGGCGTACTTTGCCTGGAAGGCGACGGCCATGGGCAAGAACCACGTCAACGGCAAGACCTTCCTCGAAAAGAGGTGGGGGGCCCTCTCTTTCCCAAAGAAATTGTTTCGGGTCGCTCCTCTCCACTTCCTTTTGGATTGTGGGGGGCAAAGTTGTAGTGCTTCCTTGACTTGTGGCCATAGAGGTGACAAGAGTGAGGCTGCTGTACCTCACTGCAGTCAAATTGTAACGCTTGCGCTTAGCTTTCCTCCGAAGAAAGTATTTGCGAGTGTACCCTTCTGTCCAGGTTGGGTGGACTTTTGGGGAAGTTGACACTGCTGTTGTTCAGTATGTGGATCTGTATCCCTGCGCGACACCTTTGTGCTTCTATTGCCCCGGTTCTTCACGCATTTCAAACTGAGCGTGGAACGTCGGACCTTTTGTCTATTTCGGTTAACTTTTGCTTTGCAAGTGATGTAAATGGTCTGCAGCTCAGATTGAGATGAATCGGTCGCGTCAACGTCGGGAGGAAAGGGACATGTGATCTGGTCGTGAGGTTATTTCGCTGCGAGTGTCCTATACATGGCACGTGGGCAGGTGCGAGCACATGATGTACAATAGAATTCTCAGAAGCCGAGGACTTTTTCGAGGGTTTGGGGAGGAGAAAACTGGTGGCCTCATACGCCAAAAAGGAATTCCTAAATTGTCATGTAAAATTTAATGCATGAGGTGGTTCCTGTCTCTACTTCAAGGCCATACTCACATTTGTTACACTGTGAAGCTTTGGGGCCCTGATCACATTCCATAATTTATTTGCGAAATTCGAAGAACATGAGTAAAATGCGCTAAGGACGAGGACAGAGGCAGAAACAAGTACGACGCAGGGAGCGCTTTATATCTCTTGCTTGCTTATGCCTCTATCGTCGTCCTTAGCCCATTTTATTTATTTCCCTAGACAAACCAACTAGCCCACTAAAAGGTGTTATTTAAAGAACGCCTGCGCTTTGTCTGCCCGAGTAGCACTTTTTTCAAAGTGGTAGCTTTATAGGCCCACTTATGCTCAAGGTCACACACCGCCCATGGCTGATGTGCAAGGCCACATAATCCCCGTGGCTGAGGTGCAAGTTCGCATAAGCGCAGGTTGTTGAAGCTGATGGGACCTGACGTCCTTGAGGTCATCCTCTACATCGTCCTCAATGTCGTGCTAGACAGCGTTCTTGGTCATCTTGGACTTCGTTCTTGGGTCATCCTAGAGGTAGCCCTCGACGCCTTCCTTGAGGTCGTCCGAGGTAGTCCTAGAAGTCGTCCTAGACATTGTTGCTGACATAATCCCAGACGTCGTCCTTGATGTCCACTATGTGTGTATGGCATATTACAACCATGTCATTATCGTACCATTTCCTTCCCTAATTGTTTTCACTAACAATGTTCTACGAATCTAATAAGAGACCAGCTCATGTTTGGAATAGATGCATTAAGTGACACCTCTGCACACATAATTGAAGCTTCTGTTTCTTTGTTTAGAAGTGAATTCCTATCTGGTTTGTTATAGCAATATTGGCTCTCCAAGTTTGTCTTGGGGCTAGTTTTTTTTTTCCTGCAGTATGTTGCACACCCTCCATCGGACAGTATAAATATGCTGGCATCTGGCCACAATTAAACTACAGTCGACTCAATAATTCTAAGCTCATGGGGACAGCAACACACTTCAAATTAAGCATACATTGAATTTAAAATTTAAAAAGACGGCTCAAAATATGTTTTTTTTTTTTTGTTACAAAGTTTATTTTTTCTTGCCTCCACGAACGGATCTGCAGCATTCCACCGACAAAGACTCGGTGTATTAACTATGCTCTGCAAATTTCAATCCATTCTTAGACCACCTACAGCAGTTTTTTTGTCAAAGAAAACTCAAAATTGTAACCCAGTGGCTCAAGCTTTTTCCTCGTCGCGAGAAGCGAAGCAATAATTTTTAGGCCTAACCACACAATATGTCCCCATCCGAAAGCAGACTGCAGATCACGACATGCTTCTTGACATCGATATATTTGACGGACAAAACATCTCATAGGGCTAGGTAATGCCTCAAACAAAGCTTTGTTGGCCGTACGTAGCACACTTCGTAATCTTTTTGTGGGAACGATGCCTTGATGCACCCACTTGCAGCCACGCCGGCTTCACTTGGCACGGCTTGGCCGCTTAATTGGCATAGTCGCACGTCGTGCTCATTCCCTCTTTCTCCCGACCGCGCGCGTACAGTAGATAAAAATTATGCAATCTGCACGGGTTGGATTTAAGCTTGGTCGGCATGATACTGAGGCTTCTTCATGCTCCCAGAGTTGCCGGATTTCTTGAGCTCGTAAAAGCGTACTTCGAATTAACCAGTCACAGAGGTTAAACTTAGAATCGTCGCACATTCTTCCCATAGACTCGTATGTCTACTAATTGCCGGAACTGCAGACCTTCCTCAAACTGACCGAAATTTCGAATAAACAGACTTTGAATTACCGAGTCGACTGTAATTGGCACTTGTCTGTGTCCTTTTTTCCGCATCCGTCAGCTTTTTTGCTTTTGCAGCAAAGCCAACCTATCTTTCGCGTAAAGGGACGCGCAATGCCTCGTGCTCGTGAGTCTCGCGTTGCCCACGATTGCGAGGGGGTTTTTCTCGGTTGCAGGTACAGCGAGGAGCTGGAGCTGGAAGACGCGGTGCACACGGCCATCTTGACCCTCAAGGAGGGCTTCGAGGGCCAGATGACGGCAGACAACATCGAGATCGGTCTGTGCAACGAGCAAGGCTTCCGGCGACTGGCCCCCGCAGAGGTCAAGGACTACCTGGCCAACATCATCTGATGTCCCTCCAGCAAACACTCCCCCGTCCTCAGCGGGCACGCGCCGAGCCGGAGGGCACGAAATGGGTCTTGGATGCATGCACTAAACGACAAGAAAGGAAATTTCTGAGGACGACGGTTTTCGAGTCTTTATTGCGTACGAAGTACGAAGTGGCCTGGGACTGCATCGTCTGGGAAACCGCAGTTCCTGGGCTCCTTCGTCTGATTGTGCGGCGGGAACGATGGGCGAAGCCACGAGGGTGCATCTGTGGCACAGGCGCCGAGCGAGCTACCGGGATGCGCAGGACCAGATTCTGGGCTTCCGTTTCTGCCACCCTAGCCTTCCATGGGGTACGACCCGTAGAGTGCTCGTTGTAATCCAATTAGCTTCTTTTTAAAATTTTTATTAGGCAGCTTCCCATTCTCGATGGTGAATACGTTTCTGCTGGAGGTCTGCGAATATCATTTTTTACTGCAAATTGGTGCGAGTTGAAATTTTACTGCAGTTTGAATATAAATATTTTACAATACAAATATTTAGCATTTAATGTGAATTTAGCATTGGATGCTCTTAGGAATTGCTGCTAGAAATATTTTCTAAAAAGCATACTTACCAAAAGATAGTTATTACGTGGGCTGTTTCACATACTGGTATTAAAGAAAAGAGGCACTGGTAAATTGAGTAGAGTATAAAACAATGTAGCATGGCAAGCAGAGCAAAGAATACCCAATTTATTTGAAGGTGTTTTCTTTTTCGGCACTGTGCTTTTAAGTTAAGGGTCAGACTATAATTATAAGCAAGAAAGGTTGGCTCGATGAGCAAAATTTTAGAGCTTATCCAACCACGATGCTCAGACACAGCAACCGTTTCTCCTAACATGTCGATGCGAAGCTTGATGCCAGAGTGCTGGTGTGTAACAGTAAAGTTTAACGTAAAATGAAAAAAAAAAAAAAATTCTGAAGACCTTGTTTGCAATTTTAGAATACCGAGAATACCTTCAAGAGAGAAAGTGTGCTACAACATTAAATAGCAATTGCTAAAGTATTCGCACACCTCTAATTTTCCGCTTTTACTGAACAAGTGCTGAGCTGGCCAGTTCGAAGGAACGACTTTGTTTGATTTCTTTCTCTTTTCTCTATGTTGTGTCACACAAACAGATGTTTGATTGCAAGGTAAGCTTCGAGGCTACTGGGCTATTGACTCCCAAGTTTTATTCTTCCATTGCTGTGCCTCACCAGTAGACACAACATTTGGGCACAATTGAAAGAAAGAACTGTTGCTGTATTCATCTTCAAAACTCGTTGTCTAGGATCTTCAGTGTTGAGCGTTAGGTTGGTCTGCATTTGTTGTTCCATGGTGCACATGGCCTAAAGTTGTCGGCTCAAACGATAAAGCACGGTAACAAAAAGTAAGTCTGCTTTGTCACTCAAAAAAAAAAATTTCAAGTTTGGAGGTTTTACGTGCTAAACCAACGACTGCCATCTGGCACGCCCCAGCGGAGCACCGAGGGTTAATTTGGACCACCTGGGGATCTTTTGACGTGCAACCGAAAGCTCGGTTACACGGCGCCTTCTCCGCAATAAGCCTCCGTCAGATTGCGGGCACGTCGGCCGGGATTCAAACCCGCCACATGGGGATCCGTAGGCCGGCGCTCTCGCCTCGGAGCCACCAAGGCGGCTGCTTTGTCACTCAAGCATTGTGACCACTTGTAAAGCATGGGCCGTAAAACTTGAAGGGGTGATTGAAGAACACGTCTTTTTCGCATAGCACGTGCATATATCCCAATTATGACTTGCGAGAATGCCGCTTATTCACAATTCGGCTGAACACAAACTCGCGGCACACGGAATTCCAAAGGAACAAAGTTGTTTGGTTGTAACGTTGGATGTAATCGGGGCAGTGCAACGGTTTTAATGTTAAAAGAATTGCCAGTTTGCATTTTTTATATTGTTTATGCAAGCCCATGTGACCAAAAACGTGTCACCTTTCCCCGAGAAACTGCTAATCTGCTGCGTCATGGCAAGGCAAAAGAATTATTTGCTGATTTGCAGCCGCCTGTGGCGGCTACGAAAACTAAAATGACAGCGTGTGGGGGTACGCGGAAGTCAAACCCTGTCCCCCTCCGCTGCTACGCTCGCCGTCAGCCCCGTGACGAACCGTCCTTTGTTTCCATCACTCGCCGCGACCTTCGACAAGGCTAATTCTTTGAAAGTCTAATCGCGGAGGAAGTGGCTGGTCTCTGAAGAGAGGAACCACGGGGAAACTATGTGAACCCCCCAGAGTATGTCACTCGAAAGTTGACATGGAGAGTCGAGAGGCACTTCGACCTTGGATTTGTTTCATTTTTTTTTTAATTAAGAACTAGCTCTCGCAAGAAAATGCGGTTTTCTGTTTTCCGTTCCATAGGTGACGCAGATTAATTTCCGCCGTTAATTGGCCAAAGTCTGAAAATCGTTGCACTACCCCTTTAATTCTGAAGAAATCTTTGAAGGTATAACATTGAACTTCAGCCAAAGCTAGGAACAGGGCCAGAAATGGCCGCCAGGTGCATTACTGTCCTTGAGGGGGCGTTTTCGTTTTGCCAGGCCATTCTCAGTAAGCCACCCGAAATTCGCCATTACAAGTAGTTTAGAATAACAATCTCCTGTATACCTACATTTTTTAACGTCCATAATTGATCACTGTATGCAAGTACCGGTCATCCTTTACGGTATTGATCTCTAACAACAAAACTTAGAAATAAGCTTTTTGTTTTTTCAGACAACACTGTTTTTGCATTTTTGCAAGCGTAAAAAAGTTATGCAATGGACTTTCTCCGAGTAACGAGCGCTGCATGGCGGTTTCTCCGCAAACTACAAATGAAGGGCAGCCCAACAGGACTCCGCATGTTAAACCACACTGACATTGTGCCGTTGTATCAGTTTTCGCTGCTTTTTATACCCCATGCTACTGATATCCAGAAAGAGATTCATCAAAAAAGACTTAAAGGGGCACTGACACCCCAAAGGTCGTATTTATTTTTATTGTCTAAAACGATGCAAGTTGTAGTCATAGACACGCAAAAAAATCCGCCACGCGAAAAAAAATTTTCCCGCGCGCGCGCGCGCCTTTTTATTTTTGGCGTTTGATTTTCCCGCCTCTCGCCTCCTCGCTTCTTTTGATCGGTGACGTCAAAAATCAGGAAATTTAGAAGCTTTGTAGGCGACATCTCTATAACATTTAATTACGGCAATCCTAAAACATGTTTTTTAACGCAATTGCGAACGCACTACGGCCCTTCTTTTTGAAATACCAAAAATCGGGAGTTCGTTGTGGTGCCGTCTCCTGGATTTGTATCCTCCAACGGAAAACAGGCGACACCGCTCAAAACCGGTCCGGCGCAACCCCGCCGCTCACTCCCTTCCTCCTCGCTTTGGGTCGCCATGGCAACAGCAGGGAGTGGTCAAAGGAAGTCGACTCTCAGGTCTCCTCAATTTTTGACGTCAAGGCACCGGCGCCGATCGCGCGGGAACTTCGAATTCGGCATTTGGAAATTGTTTTTTTACTTCACGAATACTGAATTCCCAAATCTCAAATTTTGAGGGTAATGTCCCGGCATCGTTTTCAATCGTTTCGGATAATAAAAAAAAATATGATTTTGATGTGTCAGTGCCCCTTTAAGACTCAGAAAGATAAGCGCTGCCATTGTTGGTCGTGCGGGATGGTGCCCTCCGAAATGGACACGGCAGCAGGAAGTAAGGCCTGGGGAGAGATTGTGCGCATGCGCAGCAGCTTACTGGAAAAAGGTCCACTGAGCGAAAGGGTTGGCAGTGCCTCTACTTGATGGCGCTACTCGCGGCGTTGAAGTTTGACAGCGGTGGCAATATCAAGAGTTTGTTTTGAGGCAAGAGGATTGAGGAATGATAATATTTTGGAGAATGTTGCAGAAAAAAGAATGATTAATTGACTGAGTGTACAGAGCTGAAGACGCTTATACATTAACGAGAAACACTGTCAGTACAACGAAGCGTCACTGCAATCTATTGGTGGCCCATTCAGAGCGGGTGTGAACTTCTGATATCTCTTTCCGGTTGCCAGACTCCCAGCTGTGTTGGCTAGATTACAGTCAAATCTCGTTAATTCAAACTCGAGGGGGACCGAAAATTTGTTTGAATAAAGCGAGGCTCAAATTACCGGGAGTTTCTTCCCATAGAGACGCATAGGATGGGACTTGCATGCTAGTTTGAATTATTCGCAAGTTTGAATTAATGGGAGTCGACTGTAGAGACTCTTAGCCGCTCCATCCATGCTAGCGCCGCCTGTTGTCACATACCAGGCTCTCTTGTATCGTTACAGATTACTTTTGAGACCAGTAGTGTCTTGAAGGACTGGTATATCTAGCTATAATGTAATTAATTTTCTTGTTACTTCAAGAAAAAAGACTAACTAAACAACAGTTGCACATTACTTTTTGAAAAATTAACGCATTAGAGAGAAAAGCTACATGTTGGGCCTCTTCCAGACTCTTGTGAATAGGGAATCACTCTCGAGTTTAGCAGCCTTTTCTGCTAAAATTAGCAGGAAAGTAATGTATGCTTCAATGCTATCATGGCAAATGCAGCAGTAACACAAAATGTCTCGTGCCATTAACCCCCAAAATCATCATCAGTAAGAGGAAATGTATTCTGTGTCACTCGCGCGTAAGCATGACCACTCCAACATTTGCTTCGTGGATGGCATCTTCTGCAATGAACCCTTGCCACATAAGGACGACACCTAATGGCAAACATCCACGCCTACTTTTGGTGCTACCCGTCGTCGGCTTGTTTGAAACACCATCTGAAAGAAAGCCTGCCAAAGCTAGCACTCCAGCACGAGTGGATGGGAAGTTTGTACCTCTTCCATTTGTGACTCCCCGTTTATTCTAAACCACGTGCTCGTTCTCTACCCTCTCACCTTCTGCACACTCTCCCACCATGTGTGCAAGTCTGCTTGCCACTTCGGAACAATATTTTAATGCCAAAGCATTAACTGTCCCATGGAGCAAAGTCAGCGGTCTGTAACCGTCTGTAGCAGCGAAACGGCACCTGAATTCCCACTGACCAAAAGCACAGCAACGCAGATGCTTCGTCGCAGAAGCTGGCGGGGCGCTCAAGGTCAAAGCGGACGCGCCTAAGAAAGAAAACAAAGAAAAGCCCAGCAACGCAGATGCATCGTCACGGAGCCGGCGGGGTTTACTGCGCCCGCGCAGTGAGGGAGCATGATGTCACCGCCGGAGTGCCGTGTGAAAAAGGAAGACTTGACGTGCTGCTTATAGGAATGCGCTGCGTGTAGAAATGCTTTGGGCATTCCTGCCTTACCACAAAGAAGATGGGGTTTTGGGCTATTTCGATATGAAGTCTGGCTACGTTACAAAACGCACTCCTCAAGTGTCGTGTCTGACATGGGTAACTAATTGGGAAAAAAGTTTGCCTTCTATTTCGAGACATCAAAGTGCGATCTGCTGAAAAGTCATTTTTAGTGTACCTCAGTCACGTATTGCAATCTTTAATCATATGCTGACATCTGTAATCACAAATGCCAATCAATGAGTGGCTTTATAGGTAAGCTTAGAACCTGGAAGCTGCATTTTTACATTTAGCAATGACAGCACCAGTAAAACAGTGCTACCCTGTTGTAACAGCCTCACTTAAAAGTAAAATCTTCCCAGCGACTATGCCTAGGAATCGTCTGCTGTATCCAGGTGAAGAAACCTTGTGTAACGGGCACTCTTTTAACCAATGGTACAATAAATATATACGGATATGTGAGCCTTCACTCGCCCATATTTCGTTTTATTTAAGATTTTGAACAATCGGGAATAGAGCAAAATTGAACACCAAATTTCAGAAATTGAAAATTTAAACATATGAACTCCGATAAACGCCGAATTTATAGCATAAAATAGGCTCAGAAAAACGCCGTCTGAATTTCACCAAAACATCAACGGTGGAAACACGGAATCCTAGTCATATTGCACCGTCCCGTTGGCTAGCTGTCTCTTTCGGCATCCTTCCGAACATACTGGGCACTCCGTCACCTTCCTCCGCTTTCTTCGTCCCAAGGCAGCTCTTGGCAGCCTCCTTTTCATCCCCGAATTGCGTTTCTGCCACTGCAAATGTATTCCAATCTTGTTCAGCGGCACCTGGAAAGCTTGTACCTATATCCCTGCTTGTCTTCCACCTTGCATGTTGAGGAAAGCAATCTTCGCTCCTCTTTTTCTTCACTCGTTTATTTCTCCTTCCTGTCTTCTTGCTTCTTCCCTTTACCTTTAGTGTAGGTGTCATCTCTCGTGCTCTTGCTCATCAGCATTTTGTGTCGCACTAACGGGACCACCCTCGAGTAATTCCGGCCTTTTAAGGTTGGCTTTTCTTGCGACCTTCTCTGCCACGTTTCACACTCTTGCCCTGGTTTGTCAAGCCCCAAAAATTTCCTATGCTGTTGCCTAGCTTTTGTCTCTTCTTGGCCACCACACTGCCGCTGTAGTGGTCACCTTCCATGATGCTTTGTTGCCACTGGCACGCGTGTATGGCACGGGAAAATCCAACATCCACTGTGTCATCCACTGGTTCCACGGGTGTGGTGGAGTATCCCTCGAAGAACAAGTGTGAAAAGCACAAGGCCAAGAAAAGCGGCACTGCAAAACACTGCGTCTCCCCGTTTGTCCTCAATTTTGACGTGGCTCCGGTCCTCTCGATGGATGACTTTTCTGCACAACAAGTGAGCTACGAGCTTTTATGCTCGGAGGCAAAACCTGCACGAACAAGTTCGACACTTGCACAATTGTAACGGACAGTTCCATGGTTGCAACTGGCCCTTGAGCGCATGCAAGAAAACTGTCGGGATACCTCCCCCTGCCTGAGCATTGCAAACAAAGAAGGTCACTGTCATGCAAGTGTTAGCACATGCCTTCGGCAGTATGCCAAAGCAGGAACTTGCACTGCTGTCTTGCGAGCCTGACATTGTCTCCAGTTTCTTTTCCAGCTAGTCTCTATCCTTCCGGGGGTGCCTGTAGCAGCTCCAGAGTGCAGAGCCGCAGGGCAAGTAGGGTCACTCCTGGGCACCCTGAAAGGGCACCCCTGGGCACTGCGATGTGCCCGACTTGTGGCGTTTCCATTTCCATCCACGATCTCTGCGCTGCAGAAGAAAGGAGCAGTTCCGGTCTCTGCCCTTCAGACGTCAAAGACTAGCCTGGCTCGCTTGAAAACTTTTACTTTGGTAGCAACTCTGACGGGCTACAAATGAGATGTCTCAACTTACTGCACTTTGCTCGGCCTTACAGTAGGGGATTACTCTGTTTCACCGTAGCTCGGCAAACAATGGAAGCAACGGCCCCTGTAAGTAATGAGAGTTATGGAGTAAGGTGCGGTGGTGCAATGTTTCGTGACTTGCTCCAACGCTCTTATTTGCTCAATGCACTTTCAACTTTCACTGTTCGCCAAGTTATAATGGAACGGAGCAATACCAAACCAAGTCACGAGCACATTGCTTTGAAATGTGTCCTGGCTAAGAAAACAGGAGGGCCTGGCAGAAAGAACAATGCGAGCATGGGCCTTTAGCTTTGGTTCCTCCACAATACCGCTTTAAATGAAATAGTACATAAGGTGCTCCCACTGCACACACAGTGCGCAGTGGGAGCACTTTAAAATTTAACTTAGCTTTCAAAGCTAAGTTAAATTTTTTCAACATGCTGAACTTTGTACAAACTTCCTAACCTTTTTATGGCTCTGTAAGAATTTATCTGATTTCATAGCTCCACTCTACTGACAGTCCCTAATAACTGCCACCTTGGGCACAATAATAATGCCTCGGGTATTGATGGAGTCCCCGCTGAATTGCATTCCAATAGAATCCATGACCACTGTATCCACATCCAGCCGACAAGCGATGCACTTGGAAACTATAATTCACAATTTTCGCAATCTGATTTTTAGAACTTTCTCGAATATGAATAAATGACACTGCACATACAAACGGTGCGAGACCAGCTTGAGCACCAGCAAATACTCTAAAACAGAAACTGAAGCCCTAGACGCAATGACTCTAACGTGGTCTGACGATGAATGGAACGGATATAGTATCTGACATTGGCAGTAGGCGTGCCCACTTTTCCGTACAGCACGGAGAAGGCCCGCCACTACAATTTAGAGGCAATCGCAAGATCCAGAAAGGACACCAGCGCCAGGCTTTAAAGCACGTTGATATCGCTCTCAGAATAGCCATTTTCATTTGTCACCCATTCATTCGCTCGTCCTGTTGATCTCAATGACTGGTCCAGTTTGTCACACGTGGAGCACTGCAACGAATTTAGTACTTTCGGTAAATACTGCTCAAAGTTAATCCTCAACATCCATAACCTACGAAACACAGATTAGGTAGTTTTTCTTTTTACATTCACCAAAATGTCGACTGTCACACGCTCGTATCCAGTCTATGAACTGTATTGACCGTTGTCATCGAAGGTAATCCCCACGATTCCGTCGATCTCGCAATCCCCGCGAATATGTGGACGCTGCAACTTTCTCGACTACGATGCCTGGAACGTGTCTTCGACCGGTGCGTTCACGGTCCTATGCCACTTACACATCAAAGGCGGTCCCGAAGGGGCAACGAATTGTGTCACGGGAGCGAGCTCGTCATGCCGTTGGTTGTCGCAATCTTGGCGGCTGGTTGAAAAACACTGGCAAAAGAGGAAAACGGATGCAAGGGCTGCAGTTGTAAAGGGTGCCCCATCTCGCATTTCTTCGGTTTCCGTCCAAGGTCTGGCTGCAGATCGACCCAGAGCGGAAGGGACGTCCAACTCTGCTGCCCTGCCACTGCCGGAATTGTGGCAGGCAACGGCGCGGCACCTTTAAGACACCACAGGGCGGAAATCGAGAGACCACTTTCGAGGATGTAGTCAACGCGTCAGTCGAAGACACGCTTCAGGCACCATACCTCGACTACGTTGTCGGGTTCTGTGAAGACTGAAAAAAATGCTCCGCTTTCGCCGTCGAAACTAGGGATGTCGCGAACCACCCTAGGTTCGATTTCGAAAGGTTTCGATATTTGCGAAGCGAACTGAGGTTCGATTTCGAAAAATTTCGATATTTTCGTACCGACCGAGGTTCGAATTAGAAAAATTCGCAACTTTCGATCACAGTGGAGTCTCGAATTCGAAAAGTTCGAGGCTTTCACGGTTTCTAAAATTTCGGATTCAAATATTTTGAATATTTTTTTACTTCAGGTTCGATAAATTTGAAGATTTCGAAATTTTTTGGAAATAAAATTCGAAAACTTTGAACGCTTTGAATTTTTATAGACATTAAGTTCGAACAATTCAAAGATTTCGAATTTCTTTCTGCATAAAGTTAGAAAAGTTTGAAGGTTTCGATTCTCTTTTAACACTAAATTAAAAAAAAAAATAAAAAAAAAAAAAAGCTTTGAAGATTTTGAATTTCTTTCTAGTCAAAGTTTTCAAAGTTCGAAGTTTGGTTTTCAAGTTCCTCCACAGTTTCAGTTTCAAATAACGTTTTCATGACTCACTGGTTTTCACGAAATCAAGTTTAGAAAAGTTAGGGTGTGATATCTAGATTCTGCGAGTTGGTCAGGCAATTAAATGAGACGACGAGTGTCCCGGATGTGCTGGAATATTTGCCAGTGCAGAGTGACGTGTGACCATAGATCAGTAATTGTGACCGCCAGCCCGGGGGGGGTCTTTAACCTGCATCACGCAGTAGTGATCACACGAACACAGTTTTACGAGACTCATCCAGTTCGAAACAGTCAGGGGCGAGCAGGAGGTTGAGGCTCAGAAAAACCTTGAAGCGACCTGGCAAACTACTTCGCCACCCCTCGCACGCTGGTAGCAATCCGATCAAACGCCGCCCGAGTGACGCTGGCATATAGTAAGTTAAGTTTGTAATTGTCCTGGAGGTTTATTTTCTGGAACGGAGGAATCGCCTCGCAAAAAGCCGACACAACTCGAGGTCGAGGAGCGTTCTACCATACAAGCGGCGTCGGAAGAGGAAAAACGGGGGGAAAGAGGGTAGCGGGAAAGGGGGGGGGGCCTTGGCTTCAGCCCCTTCCCCCCCTTCCAGATATTTCGGACTGTTAAAGAAAACAATACAGGGAAAGAGGGTGTGGTTGAGCTTATTTTAACCTGAAATTATTTATGCATATGTATAGGGAGTATTCACTGGCGGTCATAGCTGAGCTCTCTGCTGCTTTCTTACCACAGGAGAAGAGAGAGAGGGGAGCGATACTTTTGTAAGAGTTTTGAGTGGCAAGTTAATCTTCTATAATCTTCTAGGGGAGAATAGCAATGTTTGGGGAAGCCTAGGACCTACAAAGGAGAGTCCCGGTGATAAGAGGATTTTTCCTTCCCCTCTTCTCGAGCGGTTGCCCAAGAGCTGACGGAAACTCTTCCCGGGCATGCGCTGTGAGCAGTTACCTCAAATTGGGCGTCCAGTGAATGTCGCTCTTCACTGCATAAAAGATTGCGTAGATGGTCATTGTTAGAAACTCGTTGTCAGAAGGCACTACTCGTCACACGCTTAGTGGTTCGGAAGTTCAAAGCTATGTCTTTCCGACCTAAATACCTGTGCCAATAGTAAAAAAAAAAATAATAAATAAATAAATAAAAAATGAATAAATGCGGGGATAAAAAGCTGGAGAAAAAAAAAAAACTATCGAGAATTTGCCGGAAGTGTTGTATTCTTGCATATTCAGAGGTTCAGAACTTCGAAACAAGTTTCTTTTACCAAAATGTGTACAGGCTAAAAGAAACACGTCCCAGGAACGTGAAGCGAAAAAAAAAAAATGGTTTTGAACACTATTAGAAATCTCCCGTGAGTTAATTTATTCTTTAACGTGAAAAAAACGATAAATACATTATTTTGTATTCTGCAGATGGCAATGATAGGCACTGTCTGTGGTGTTAATTTAAATGCGATACCTCAAACAACTTAGACGAAAATAAATATCAAGTTTAGGGCATAATTGCATGTAGATACATGTTTGGACATTTCTTCGAAACTCACGTTGAATAACAATAATCACATCTTAAGACGGCACTTACCTAGGCTATACATAGATCATTCTTAAAAAGTGTAACATCTCTACCATAAATAGCTTCGGCTACAGTGCGCTTCAAATATGGCACAAACAATAATCGTCAAAAACCCGTCGTCCTTCCTCGCCCCTTCAAGAATTTATTTCTTTAAAACTAAGCATGCCAGAACATTGAAATAAACGGCATTGTCTTTCGTAAGGAACGCAGCACCGCGTGTAAAAAGTTCGAGAAAAAAAAAAATCACGAATGTACCTCACTACTTGAATTCAAATGAAACCGTCCGCCGGTCATTCGAAGTTCGACGAACGTCAAACTTTTATTCTAAAAGTTCGAAGTTCGTCGAACTTCCGACTTTTCAGGATTCGAAAGTTCGAAACTTTTCAAATTCTCTTGATAAATAAGTTTGAAAGTTTGAAATTCATAGAATTTCTTGTTCAGTCAAGTTCAGAAGTTCGACAAGCATCAAACTTTGCAGCGCAATAAGTTAGAAAGTTCAAAAAAGATCGAATTTTTAGCGTAATAAGTTTGACGGTTCGAAAAGCGTCGAACCTTTTAGCTTAACAAGTTCGAAAATTCGACTTCTGTCGAATTTTACGATATAGACAATTCGAAAAATCGAAATCTTTCGAACCTTTCGAACCGCTTGATTCAATCATCGAAACTTCGATTCGAAAGAAGTTCACGGCATCCCTAGTCGAAACTGCACTGCACCAAAGAAGCTCCCAGGTCAGTGGCGTCGCGTGCGAGTACACTTTTGTTGCACTAGTGACCAGAAGTTTGTGTAAACTGCACAAACGTTCCAAACCAATACTGTTGCGCTGCCCCCTTCATTGAGAAATTAAGCGGCCCTGCGTTAATCCACGGTACAATCACGGCGATAGCTGCGACACATCATGGCAAAGTTGTTTGGCGTCGCTCGCGTGAACAAAAGCATTCAGAACCAAATAGAAATCTGACCATTTTGTTCCGTTTTTCTTCCAAGGCGTGTGGACGCATCTCTCGGCACGAGCTTTTGGCATTGACAGTGCAACGATGGCATTTTGTTATCGTCTATTTCTCTGTATTTTTATAGAGAGCGCATGCAGTAGGCGTCGGATACTGGAAATTTTGAACGCTTTTATTCCTTCTTTGTTCCGGAGCCTGTAAAAGCACGTCTCCCAGCATGAGCTCTTAGCAATTACAGTGCTATAACGGCGTTCTGTTATCGGCTCTTTCTCCATACTTCTCCAGAGAGTGCATGCAGAGGGCACCGGGTACTAGAAATTCTGAACGCTTCCGTTTCTATTGTGTTCCGGACCGTGTGAACACGTGTCTTCCGGCACGAGCTCTTGGCACTGACAGTGCTACAATGGCATTTTGTTATTTTATTTTTTTATTTTATTTTTTTCAGAGAGCGCGTGCACTGTGCATTAGGTACCACAAAAACCCCAAAGCACAAAGCAGGTTATTAGCGCCACGGCGTAGCTAAGCGGTAATGTCTCCGCTCCGTATGCGGTGGACCCAGGTTCTATTCCTGTAGGTGGCGGGCAATCTTATTCGAGAAATTCGCAACGTCGACGACGGATGCCCTACATCGCCAACAATGTCATCATCAATAGACATCATTTCCACCAGTGGGAAGAGCCCATGACAGCTATCGCTGTAGAAGGCTGCATCTGCACTGGACGCTCACCTGTGCGTTGATTGTCGGCAAGGCGTACTGCTGCGGACCGGTCGGGGGGTGCGTTTAGGGGCGGGCGTATCCGTCTGCCAGGGCGCCCATGTAGGCCGGCCAGCGCTGGCGCTCGAAGGGCAGCATGTGGGGGCAGCTGAGGCGCACCCGGTACACGGTCATCTGGCCCATGGGCCGATCAAAGGGGTCGTAGGAGTCCTCCTCAGAGGCCCCGTCCCCCAGGCACTGGGAGGCCGCCAGGGCCTCGTACGCGTCGTGGTCCAGCCCGAACAGGGGGCCTGAGGGAAGGGCGCGGGCCGTGAGCTCCTCCCCCTCGCCGATCCTCCCAGGCCGGAAGCTGCCGGCTCGGCTTTTTGCGGAGACTACTGTAGCACAAAGTAACTGGTTTTTCCTTTTAGCTGTCCAACCTTAAAAGTTGCAATCTGCCAAATAAATCTGAACCAACGAAAATCAAGCGTTTTTCATAGTTTATCAGTTCTACCGGAACCAAAAAAAAAAACTTTGGTCAAAGTGGGAAGTCCATTAGCTTGTTCATGTCTCTGCTACTAGAGCAGTGGTGGAACCGACAAATGGTGATTTGGAGCAGCTCTTGTATCAAGAAAAAACAGGTTTTGGAGCAGAGATTCCCACCTTTGGAGGAGAATATTTTGAGCTTTCAAGTCAGAAAATTGCATGTAGTATCTTCGAAAGCTAGCCCGTAGAAAGAGTACATGGAGTGTTGGGAGATTATTTAAAGTGTCGCACCTACACGGGACCTGGTCGCCACAGATATTTATTTATTTATTGAACAATTATATGACTGTTAGCTTTCAGATGTCTCAAACACTCTGCTATTACGAGTAGGGATGGGCAAATAGAGGATTTTGGGTCTGAAGCGAATAGTGATTTTGGCCAAATAATTTTGAATCTAATAGTTCTAATAGTACAAGCAACAAATACCACAAGATATGTTTAAACTATATTTTTATACTGGCCCTTATTTGGTATTAAAAGTACTGCAATTGTTAATTTCAAGTGTACAGAGTTCGGGAACACGAAATGGTCTAAATGGACGGAAGCTTGCGCCACCTGGCCGAAAATCCAAGCCGAAGTATTGGGAAAAATAAAATAATTCGATATTGTCGAATACTTAAATTTGATTTGCGGTGAATGCCGAATAGAACAGAATTTGATCGGCTATTCGTAATAACCAAATATTCGCCCATCCCTAATTACAAGTACCGATGGCGTCTTCCACCTGTGTTTGACATAAAAATGATTTTGGCTACTTCGTAGGGTTTGTATCATGCTGCTTTTGCTCATATTTCATCTGCTATTGTTCATAGAGCAGCTAAGTGGAGGATATAGCTACTTTAACCAATCACAATGAATAATTATTCACTGCAATCGATGTGAGCACTGTTCGTGCAAAAATCAAGAAATCTTCGTTAGGCACGTGCAAATAATACATTTTGGGTTTGAAGCAAATTCAAAGTGAATAGTGGTTCTGCAATTGTCCAGTGATATCTGGAAGTTACCAAGTTTTTGCGCCGATCACGGAGAGAGGGTCTAAATATAGTCATATGTGATATTTATTTCACTGAGAGATGCCTCAATGTTGATTAAATCAATTATGAACATTGATACGAAACTTCACACCAAATTTCGCAAGTATGCATGGCAGGTCCTGTCGTGATGGTAATGTCAGAGTTGCGGGCATTGACTTAAGGGCGATTCACACACTTGCGTTGGGCCTGACTGAGTGCAACTGCAACCAGTCTTGAAGCCTCTTGCAAAAGCTTTAGATAGGCCGCGCAGCAGCGGTGGCGGTTGCAAGCTACATAAAACTCTGTTGCCATAGCAACCAAAAAAAAAAAAAAGCTGGAGGTACACTTAAGCACTTCTTATGAGTTGTGAATGCGAAAGCATAGAAGCCCCTCCGACGTTGTGGATGCTAGAGGCGGCGCCATGTTCGTAGGCAGCGAGACGGGCAGAAGCACCGCCGACGATGTGGATGACGGAGGCGACGGTATGCGGGTCGGCAACAAGATGAGCAGAAGCCCCCGAGCGCGCACCAACATGTCCGTTTTAACCAGCACGAGACCCGTAGTGGCATGGGGTTGTGGCGGTTAGTTTTATCGATGCAGGCGGCACTAGAGTTCCTCCGTAGGCTCCCTATTGCGCGTCTGTTTTCCATGTGCCACCACGCCGCTATTTGTTGAGATCCGATCACTTGAGGACCCGGATCAAATGCTGTGCTGAAAAGTAGATGTTACCCGCGCCCCGGCGTACGTTCCCCTGCCTTGAAGCATGCCACGTGCCTTAAATGCGCGGTGCCACTATTCGCCAAATTCAGTCACGTGAGGACAGGGTCAACGTGCCGTGCAGGAAAGACGGTGATACAGGGATGAATGCGCAACTCTGGCTTCTGTAGGGAGCCTATATAGGAACTCTAGGCTGCACTAAAGCCCTTTCATGCTTCAAAAGTAGTGCAAGGTGCGTGGATGCACGAGGCATGTGCAACAAGCAGCCTTGCGAAGATTATGACGGCACAGCACAGCCCTGAGCTAGATATTAGACGCCATGTTCTTCCTGGAAGGGGCGCGCGCCGCGTGTCTCGAGCATGTCAACAACAATGAATGGCGCCACTTTTTCCAGGATAGAGGGGCTTTAGGCTGCACGGACACGCAGCGCCATCTGGCGGCGGTCACTGAAACTGACGCGCGCAGCGGCTAATGGAAGCCTCGTCGCCGTGTGCCAGCCAATGGGACCTTTGGGATCAGGGAAACTAGGTGCCGTTTTCGCGCTTCAAACTTATGACGTCGCCTCGTTCCATGGGACAGTTAATGCCTTCGCGTTAAAAAAGGATTAAGGCTGCAGACATGCTTGGTCGGACTCCCGCAAAGTGTGTGAACCAGCCTTTACTCCTGGATTTGATCAACACGATTGATAATGCATACAAAGATCATCCTCAAAGAATTGGGCTTCCCTCAATACCGTAGATGTTGTTTTTCTTAGAACGAAGTTGTTTTTGCTGAGACTGCAGTCAAAAGCTAAGGTGGCTCTCTTTGCCTGATGTTACGTCAGAGTGTACGCTGTTGAAAACGAAAACGCTGTCTGTTATGCGTGAGCAGTTGGGCTCTGTTTAAAATTAAATAGCTTGTGCGGTGGAAGAATAAAAATTTGGGTATTGTGCGGACGATACTCCTAAAAGCAAATGACAATATAATTTAATTATTTTCTGAAAGACAAAATTTTATTGTATAATTCCTCTAGACGAAAATTCAGCTGAACTCTCGAAGGTTGCTCCCAAGCTTTTATTGACTCCTGATGAGCTCCGTTAAATTTAATCTAGCTATATTCATAGACTGTGGTCTCAGAAAGTCAGATACCTACATTGGGACTGCAAGTAAACAACAAATATTATCTAAAATTGAACCTGCAAAGTAGTTTAGCCATACTTAGTTGAGGGGATTTATAAAGGTTCTTGCTATATGCAAACATTTTCTTCGATTCTGAATGAAAAAGAAAAAAAAAACAAGCACAAATATTGAACACAGGTTGTCAGAACATTGCTGCCTAAGAGGCCTAACATATACCCTTGCACAATAGCCACAGTTAAATTTTGGAGATTTTAGGTGTGCGCATACACTAGACCTTTTTAAAGGTGCGTTTTTCGCCTAAGCGCGCGGCTCCACTGCGGGGAAGCGAGTCGTGAGATCACAGTGTCAGCTTCGCGGGTATTGCTTCTCTGCAGTGCACCGTGCTTCAAGAGAAGCCCGCTTAAAGGGGTTAATCCGCCACGATCAACACTTTGAAAAGCATTAATATGTATCGGCAACAATGCAATGGCCAGACACTTGCAGTTTCCTTTTCGAGAACAGCTCTCTTTTGGAGCAGACATGGCTCAAATAGTGCACAAATAACAGCCTTTGGAGCAGCACGTAGCAGGTTGTTCGTTCTGCCGCAGTTTTGCTCAATTGGCGCAGCAGTTCCACCACTGTTAGAGGGGCCATACTAATGCGTCCCATCAGAAGGCAGCAGGGGAGGGCGCGACAGCCAACACGAGAGACAGCTTCCCGGCAGACTGAGTTTTCTAATTCGCATATATTCGAAAATTCAGTCAGCTGGGAAGCCGTCATTCATGATCAGCTGTTGCGTGCCCTCCCCTGCTGCCTTCCTGTCCGGTGGCGCACCTGGTGTTCTGCGCCACGGCACAGAAAGAGGGGTGTGGCACAATCTTTGATTGGATTTATAATAGGAAAATCATCCACTCTAAAATGTAATGTCGGGTTTTTTAGGATGCTTAGAGCCCGTAGATTGAGTTATGACAATAAATAGACAATCTCAGAATCCACTCGATGGCCCGCCCTTTAACCTTCCTGTTCCGAGCGTCTGTCGACCATTTTGCTCTTTCTTTTTGCTCCTCTTACACAAAGAATGGCGATTGTAAGAGCTCTGTGTAAGATTGCGATTAGCCCCTCGCATCTGGACAGGCTACATACTTTGTGGCAGAAAGCGCTGGTCCTCTTGCTCACGCAGCGCATCGAGGCAGCGCCTCTCGGCCGGCGAAAGCGCCCTGGCGCTGCTCGGGTGGAACCAGAAGGTGGCGAAGGCAAGGTCCACGCTGTGCGCCGAGTGTGGCCCCAACGAAGGCAGCAGGGTGCCTGCGAAACACGGGTGTGGGGATCTCGCCTCCATGCCCGGCACCCCACTCACCGGTCGAGATGGTGCGCTGCACCCCTCCTCCGTCGTGGGGACCCACATGACGCCGCCTCCGCAATGGGATGTCACCTGAACGGAACCTGCGAGGAAAAGCTTCTGGCTCATGCTTACGAGAAGGCCCCAAGGCGTACCCTGGATGCTCCTCCAGAAAGCGGGCGCCGATTGCGGTGAAGTTGGGCAGCCCTGCGTACTCCAGGTCCCTCTTGTCGTCTGCGGGAATGAAAATAAAAACAGGAAAATTGGGCCAGGGAGGGACCTGCTGTCATTGCGATGGACGAGGTGACGGGGGACGAGGGAGCACGAAGGTGGTCATGTGATCCTTGTCACGTGACTGCACCCTGATGACCTGAGAGACAGGTGTCCCATGCCAACAGAGAGGAGGCTGTGCTACTATGGAAGGTGGGGGCTGCCAATAGAAAGGTGGAATGTTGTACAGAGAAGGCAGGGCATGTCGCTATGAAAGGTGGGGCGTGCTGGTATCGAAGGTGGATGTGATGATGTGGATATCATTAAGGCGAAAGCCTTATATGTCTCATTGTTCAGTCGACCGAAAACACGTCGGCGACACAAAAGGTACCAAAACGTTTACGTGACCACTCAGGCGAATTAGAGGAAACGAAATTAAGAAGGATGACAAAACAGAATAAAAGGAATCAAAGTGAATGAAGAGGAATTAAAGTGAATTAAGAGAAATTAAAGAGAAGTAAGAGTAATCAATGGTAATTAAGAAGGACTATAAAGCGAATAATGTAAAAAAAGAAAAATCTGAAACAAAGTACATCGTGTCTGTCTTCGATGCATCGGCGCTTGGGCTTTTACCTTGAAGTCATCTTAGTGATAACATAAGAGGCCCTGCAAATTTTACAAGAGGGAAGGAAAAGGTGACGTGAACAAGTGCATGAGCGAGTGAGTGCAGAACAGCCAGCAGCCAGGACTGGGCGCTTCAGACACATCCCAAACTAGGACTGGGCTTCCAAGTCGTAGGCAACAACCAACGCTGGCTTGACTACACTCGGGCTAAACTGATTCATTGGAGAGACGTCAACAGCGTGCCAAACCTTCGATCTGTGCAATACCGAAAAGCAAGCAAGAACACCCGCAACTCGACGCTCCACCATAGTCCAGCACCCACCCCACAACGAAACCTCACGGCCGTCGCAGTGAGACTTGTTGTCCAATTTTTCAATCTGATCCGGACATCTTAAATACGCCGATTTCTTGCATATATTTTATTTTGAGATTTAGTTCTTTCCTTATATGATATATTGCCAAATTCCTAGGTCTCATCTCTGGCTTTTTTAACATCCTTCTTTGGCATTTCAAACCTTTTCAATACAGTGGCGTATGCCAGTAGAAAGTTGAAGTGTGTCACAATGGAAGTTAGGGCATGCAGCTTAGAAGGTGCAGGTGTGCCAATAGAAACATGGGAGTGTGCCACTATGGAAGGTGGGGTGTGCCAATAAAAAGGTGGAGTATACCGCCATGGAAGGGTTGGTGCACCACTATGAAAGGTGGGGTGTGCCAATTAAAAGGTGGGGTATACCGCCATGGAAGGGTCGGTGCACCACTATGAAAGGTGGGATGTGCTCCTATGAAAGGGAGGGTTTGATGCTAAGGAAGGTGGGATGTGCCACTGTGAAAGGTGGATGTACTGCTATTGAAAGTAGGGTGTGAAGCAAGGAAAGGTGGAGTGCGATGCTATGGCAAGTAGAGTATGATGCTATGGCAATGGCAAATGGAGTATAATGCTATGCAACGTGAAGTGTGCTGCTATGGAAAGTGGGATGTGCTACAGTGAAAAGGGGGATGAGACACTATGGAAAGTGGAGTATGATGCTATGGAAGATGGGGTGTACTACTATGGAAAGTGAGGTGCTATGCCACGAAAAGTAGGGTGTGATGCTATGGAAAGTAGTGTGCGATGCTATGGAAAGTGAAGTATGCTTCTCTGGAAAGTGAAGTATGCTTCTCTGGAAAGTGGGGACTGCTGGAATGAAATGGAGGTTCGACACTATGGAAGGTGGAGTGTGATACTATGGAAAGTGGAATGTGATGCTATGGAATGTCGAGTGTGCTGCTCTGAAAGTTGGGGCATGCCGCTATGGAATCGGGGGGGGGGGGGGGGGGGGGGGGGGGGGGGTGCCGCTATGGAAAGTGGGTTGTGCCACTACGGAAGGTAAGGTGTGCCTCTATGGGAGGTGCGGTGTGCCTCTATGGAAGGTAAAGAGTGCCACTATAAAAGTTGGGGTATGCCGCTATGGAAGGTGGGCTGTGCCACTATGGAAGGTGTGGTATAGGCAGCTGTGGAGGATAAGGTGTGCCACCACAAAAGTTGGGGAGTGATGCTATAGAGGCTAGGCTATGCCACTATGGAAGGTGAGGTGTGTCACTATAGAATGTAGGCTTCGAAACTGCAGAGTACCACTAAAAAGGTGGGATATTCTGCTAAGGAAGGTTGGGTGTGCCACCATAAAATGTGGGGTGTACAGCTTTGAGAGGGGTTTGATAATAAGAAATGTTGAGTGTGCTGCTATGGAAGGTGGGGTGTGCCACTCTAAAATGTGGGATGTGCTGCTATGGAAGTCAGTGCAAGCAGCTATGAAAGGCACCACATGCAAATATAAGAGGTGGGTGGCTCTATTCACACCCAAACTGACAGGGCAGTGGCATGTGTTAGATGAACTAGTCATACATTGTCTCTTTGACACGTTATTGCACTCTCGGCTGTACCAACACGCACAAAGCGCAGTTGGGTGATGGTGGGAGGCTGTTGATTGGCCCAGCAAACATGTCCTAAAACTGCCCATCAGTTTTGGGACGAATAGAGTACGTTAGGTGGCACATACTCATAAGGAACCCAACTAAAAATTCCCATCAAATCCAATTGGAATTCCAACTGGTTTAATTGGAACCACTCGGTTTTTGTGGGTTCCAACTGTAAGCACACTGGTTAATGGGTCTCACCAATTGAAACTATTTTTCTAGTTGGAACCTGAATGGGTTCCAAATAATTTCCGTTGGTTCCCAATGAAAGTGACCAATTGGTTGTCCAAGAACCTAATTGGTACCAATGGGAAAATTTCAATTGGAACCTAATGGGAATTTTTAACTGAGAAGACAACCTGCACTGTTACAGAATGTGGAACATGCCATTGTGGAAGGTGGCACAGTGCTCACCAGAGTCATAAACCAAGATGCCCGGCGGGTGGGTGACACTGCTAAGGGCGTAGAGGCGCGTAAAGAGGGCGTCCTTAAAGCGCAGCCGGCAGAAGTCCGCCCGGCTCTGCTGGAACACGCTGGTGCCCTGGGCAAAGCGGAAGGGCAGCGGCCGGTGGGTCCCGTGGCAGTCGGAGAGCCAGTAGAGGAAGAGGTCGCGGCCCCGGCCCTCCAGGCTGACGGCCAGTGGGGACGCCTGGGTGCCCACAGCGGCCCGCAGGGGCCTCGCGAGCAGTGGCCTGCCTGTGCGGCCATCCAGCACAGTGGTCTGCGAATAGAAGTAGACCGGGAAGCCCGGGCCCGTCTGGTAGGTCACCATAACGTCCGGCGTGTCGTCGCCGTCGAAGTAGCCCACGGCAGGTGTGCTGTACGACTCGGACTGCGGGAAGCTGTGACTCCAGAGGCGGCGGAAGGTGACGCCATCCAGGGCCACCACCGTCGAGTTGAACATGGCTGAGACCACGTCTGCCACGCCGTCTCCCGTCACGTCCACGAGGGCGGGGGGCGTCATCACGCCCTTGTCCGGGTCCGTGTACACGGCCCTTGCCCGAGACATGTGGCCGTCGAGCAGGTCGCGCAGCCGCAACCGCCACAGTGACCCGCCGTGGGTCTCGCCGCCCGTGCCAAACAGGAGCACCTCCGTGCCTGTGAGGGACCCCCCCTTCGAGCCTCTCCTCCAGAGTGCACTGCCTAGAATGTGTCTTTGACGTGTGCATTTACCATCCTATCTTGACCATTCGTTGAAAGTGGTTCTGAAGTGGCAAATTGCATAAAGGAGAAGGCGTGTCAGCTGTCGGATGTCACAATCCTGGCGGTTGACCGTAGAGGTTTGGGAAAAAAGCATGAGCAAGAGTGAGCATCGCTGTCAATGCAGCATCCGAATTTTGTCTGTTGTACAGTCAAACACCTTCATAACAAACACCACTACTAGAGAAACGCCCGTTTAACAAAAAAAATTAAGTCTTGGCCAATCTCTATGTGTTCAATGTGTTTCTTTCCGCACAAAGCAAAAATGACAGGTATTACGAATTTGCTAAGTGAAAAGTAATTAATTTCACGTAAATTGTCGCTCTCAAGTGATGCGTGTAGTAAACAGAAATGCTGCCGCAGCGGCAACGGTTAAAACCGCCTCCGCGCCGCCTATGTTGCCACCACACCGTGCATTCTCAGTTTTGGGTCTGAATACAGTCAGACCTAAATGTAACAAGCTTCTATGTAACAAAACCCCCGATGTAACGAATTACATAACTTTTTCTAACCGTAAGTCTATGCACGCCATGTATTTTTGACCTCTATGTAACGAGGTCCCATTGGCCGGAATTTCGATGTATAACAATGTTTCATGGACAATCCGTCGCAAACTTTCGGGTCCCAAAGGAGATTTTGGGAAGCACATGCGCTGAAACGGGCCGCCGATAAAGCGCAAAGAGTGAAAGGGGCCGAATCTAGCAAGTGTAGCGAGTGTGGTGTACAGAACAGTCACTAGAGGAAACTAGAGCCGCCGCCATTTCATCCGTGGGCTCCGTTCGCGCTGCATAGTTTGTTTAGAGGCCGAACTAAAAGTGAGCGTTTCTCGTAGTCCTGGGCGATAGAGCATTGAAGGCGATGGAGCCGCCCCCGACTACATTGACTTCGACGACTTTCTATGTGCGAACGCTGCTGCCATGCGACGGAGGAGGTGACCGATGAGGCGATAGATAGCGATGTTCGTGGGAACTTGCAAGACGGGGACAACATCGAGCCTGATGAGCAAGACACCTGCAATGAGCCCAGTAACCGTGAAGTGGTGGACACGATCAATGTCTTCAGGTTGTTTGCAAGTACACAGCAAGAGGAAGACGCGATGCAGGCTGTCTCGCCATGCAAAAGTCGTGTGATACCAATAATAATGCCAAAACTGGTCCAGAAAAAGTTGACGGACTACTCTCAATTGAAATAGAGGCGTCCTCAGCGAGTTTTGTGCACCCGAGAAACATTTGTGGGAACTTTCTTTAACATTAGCCCCAAATTTCTATAGAGCGAAATTTTAATATATTGAAGTAAATTCCAAATTTTACAGACTTCGTTACATTGAGGTTTGACTGTAATTTGTTAGTGAGCGACCTTGAATCTAGATGGCGCTATGTGATTACATTGCTGCATAGGAAGCCTGTATGCAGCAACGTAGCGGCATCTTGAGACAAGGTTGCACATTAACAAATTATCTAGACTGAAAACTGAGCATGCGAGGCGCAGCGGCGGTGGAAGCAGCGTTACAAAGGCGGCGCTGCACCTCCGCCATGCGCTATTGTCCACGCTTGTGCATACTTTTGTTTTGCTCATGTCATTGAGTATGCGCCACACCACTCCAAGACAAGTTTTTTTAATAAGAAAGCATTAACTGTCCCACAGAGCGAACCGGCGTTATCAGCTTTTGAAGCCGCGCCAAACGGCACCTAAACTCCCGTCCCAATGATGCGAAGCCTGTCATCTGTAGCAGCAATTTTATACACCAACTCATGTTTACAAACAAACCTGAGCGCCCCTAGCGGACGCCACCGGCGCCGCGCATGCGCGGTGGATGGTGGGCAAGAAGCCCACCGTTGCCCATAAACAAACGATTGAATTGCGTTGTTGTCGGCGTCGGTGGGAGTCCCCGCGCTCTTTTTCGCGTTGGAATCGTTGATTCTACGTCCTGCTAACAATGTCCGACTACTTGAGCGGCTTCAGCAAAACTAACGAGGCAAAACTTTGCGTGAATAATGTGACGTGCGGCGATTCATTTCATGTGGACGCCGCAGAATGGGCGCTAAAGCCTGACTCCCACGATGAGATTCTGCTCGCCATTTTCAGTCGCGACGTCGCTCGGACTGCAAAAGCGAGGACCGTAGCCAAGATGGTGGACGTCGATACTGAAAACCGCAAGTAGAATCGGGCATTACAAGTCGTTGATGGCCACTGGTAACAATGATCAACATCTTGTATCTGTTTACACTTAGCCTAGTAGTTACCTCAACCAATCTTCAAAAGTGTTTTGAGGTCTGCACTTAGTTCTTATAGCAATTACCGGGTCAACGTTTTGTTTACGGGCCGCTGTCGTTTGAACGAGTTGACAACAAAAAGCAGCCATGCAAGTTTGAAAGCGCATGACGACAGTTCGAACGCATGGAGTACGGGCAAGAAGCACCACGTCCCGCGTCAACAAACCATTCGAATGTCACGTTGTCGGCGTCTGTGTGAGTCTGCATACTCTTTTTCGCGTTGGAATTGTCGATTCTACGTCGTCATCGCAATGTCTTAGCACTTTAATCGCCTGAGCGAAATTATCGAGGCTCGTTACGCAGCTAAGCTTTGAGTAAATAATTTGACGTGCGGCGATCCATTCGCATGAACGCCGCAGAATGGACGCCAAAAACCATGATGATATTCTTCTAGCTATTCTCGGTCGCGACGTCGCTCGTGCTGCAAAAGTGTAGAAGGTAGCGGCAATGATCGACGTCGATACTGAAAATCGGAAGCGGGAACAGACCAAGCGTAACAAGTCGGTGATGGCCACCGGTACCAATGATCAACATCTTGTATCTACTGTTCACACCGAGCCTACTTAAGTCTTTTCAGGCCTGCAATTACTTCTTATTGCAATCACCGGGTCAAAGTTTGGTCTACGAGCCGCTTTTGTTTGAACAAGCAGACGACAAAAAGCAGACAAGTTTGAAAGAGCAGACGAAAGTTTGAACGATCAGGCGGCCGTGTGAATTTGAAGACGCACTGAACCCGTGGGTGGTCCGGACAACTTGGCGGTTTCTTCTCGTTCATGATGGAACAAAGCAAACACATCTGGCGACCACAAAGTGTTGCCCGCACACGCAATCGTAGTTCGACAGTGTCTGGTTTGCCCTTTTCACGGCTACTATTCACCTTCTCGGACGAACGGAGGGGGCAGAAACACATGACAACTGATCTTCAAACCTTTCCAGACTCTCTTGGTAAAGCCCCCGTCGCAGCATTTTGACGAGAAGGCAGGTTTTTTGTCTCGTATCTTCTAAAGGAACACAAGAATGCATGTCTGGCACGGCGACTTCTGCCCACCGCTCCAGACCGGAAGTGCGACCGACGCGCCACCACCGCGGCGTGACATAGGAGAGTTGAGTTTGTGTATAAATAAGCTCCCATTGGCTGGCGCGCGTCATAGTTTCAAGGAATGAGGCTCCCATTGGCTCTCGCGCAGCATAGTTCCAAGAAACGCCACCAGAGAAGCCCTCTGCATGGCGGCACAGCGGCCTGGCTGCCGGTAAGAGGGAGCAGATGGCTGCCGAGCCAGCAGAGCCCGCATGGGCAGACTCTGGAGTGGCTGCACGGCCAAGCTCAGTGCAGCGGGGCCACTTCACGAGCGCGCGCTTGGCCATCGGCCGCTACCTCGACAGTAGCGAAACGTGGCTGTGCACGCCACTACACTGCAGATGAACTAAGTGAGCGGCAGAAGGACATTCATGCTTTCGCATTCACAACTCAAAAGTGCTTAAGTGTACTCTGACTTTTTTCAACACTCTGTCCGTGCAATGCACGCACTCGTTTTCTTATATTGCGTGTATGTCGGGGCATTTGAGAAGACTCGCACGAGCGAAAGTATACACACTGTAAAAGATTTATTTTTCGCGGGCTCAATATTTCGCAATTTAGGTCAAAGTTGGAGTTTTGGAATAATTTGCGGGTTCTAACTTTCGCGACATGGTGGGATCGCAATATAAATTTTAATCTGTTTACATTTTACCGGAATTGTTTGCTGAACTATTTTTCGCAAAGTGTAGACGATTCGCGAAAATTAGGTCCTTGTGAAAAGCCGTTCCCAGTATATAAAAAAAAAAAAGTCGCAACTTTTTTATGCTATCTTGGCATTTGTTCAACCAACATGCCGATCTTGCTCGATCGAAGTTCCAAACTGTTCCACCTTGGAGCGATAATATGCGTTCGAGGAAACAACCTTTGACTTTACCCGCTCCTACGCCATCTAGTGACTATAGATGCAATCGAGAGCAGCGCAGCTGCTTCGAGAGCTTTGTCCAAATGACACGTGGCGGCGCAAGCCACCCACCCGATTTAAGAAGGGCCAAATTTAAACCATCGGCAGACGCCTTCGCTATGTGATCAGGGGTCGATGTCGGTGTCTCGACCGTAGACGACAAACTTTGCCCGTGGTTGTACTGGCAGTATGACCGCTAGCTTGGCGTCTTTAGACTGTGTCATGCAGTAGTGAGGACAAAAACGCGTGCCAATACAATTTTTATTTAGAAAGAAAAGAAGTGGTAATCGAGCCTAAAATGCCTATACCCGTTTTCACCTCAAGAAAAAAGCAAGTTTTGCGCATTATTCATACGCGACGGGAAGTAGTTCTCACGAGATTTGGTTGTCGGAGGAAAAAGCAATATTTTTGTCGTTTGGAACATGTACGTCTTGATGAGATACCGTGTATCTAATTTATAATTCACCTGCATATCTCTTAATTCTCTACATAAAGCGGGAAATCAGGAATGCTCCGCGAGAAGCCGGACTTCTTTTACAACGGTTCTTGAGGTGGAAACGGGTATAGATTCTACAGCACGAGCTTCCGCCTCAAGTGTTCTGTGCTGCAATAAGCTAGGAGACTCGACCACCGTTCCCCTTTTGTTAAGTCGATTGTCAGAGTTAAAAAAATCTGGTTTGTGACATTGCTCATATCGTATTTGGCGCTTTATTGTTTCCTAAAACACCTCAAACGTTGTGCAGATACATCGACAAGCCACACCACAACTTTGGTTTTGCATGATAGATTTTTTTGTTCTCGACTACTACAACAGTTACCTGTACTACGAAAAAGTTTGCCGGTCCTATGCACTTCCTTGTAAGGCGTCTGACTGTAGCTCTCGTGGACTGCGAAGCTGGAGAGCCACCTGCAGCAGAACGGGCGTCTGCCACATTTGCTACCGAGCCACCGCCAGGATTGTGGCAGTCAACAGCAGGACATTTGTACAAAGTCGTCGGACGAAAATCAAAGGGTTTGGAGATGCGGCAAACGCACCAGTTGGAGACACGTTCCAAAGACTACATCCGGATCGTTCTCTCCGGAGTGCTTCGCACCGTCCTTACCGTCGGGCTGCCGCAGCAGCTGGGGTGAGTAGTAACTCTCGCGGCGGTCCGGCACCAGCGACCAGCGCAGCACCCTGCCACTGCGCCCACTCACCACCAGCAAGCGTCCGGCAAGGCGGACCTGGGAGCCTGCGGGATTCACCGTGCTTTAAGGAACACCGTCTTTATCAAAGGCAGCTGCATCCTTGAACATGCAGAAACAAACTTGGCGGGCCGATCTACATCAATCTACTATTTATCACTATCTATCTACATACCGTAAAATACAGCAGAAGCGTCCACTATAAACATTTCCCAAACTTGAGAATTCCGAAAATTATACGTTAAGCGCCCGCCCCCTGCAAAGTG